ATAACTCCTCCTACAGTTTGAATCCTAGGAAGTTTTCTCTTTACTGTCTGTTTGTACATATATTGAAGGTGTGCATGAGGTCAGGGTTTAGTGTTTATTAATATTTGCTCTTTTGGGAGATAGTTGAACTTTGTAATTTTTTGGGAAATTTACTTGCATAAGAAGAGCGTTTCCAGATAACTCCTCCTACAGTTTGAATGCTAGGAAGTTTTCGCTCTGCTGGCTGTTCGTACATATATTGAAGGTGTGCATGTGGTCAGTGTTTTTATTTTTATTATCTTTTGCTCTTTTGGGAGATAATTGAACTTTTTTTTTGTCATTTTTGGGGTATAAGCGGTTAAATGAGTTGAGTGCGGGGAATCACTTTGTCTAGTTTACATTTTTTTCTCGTGTTGTGCTGTTACACAAGTGTAACAGTCCGATGTAAGGTTAGGATTTAGCGCTCACATACATGTTAAACTCCGCCACGTGCACTTTCTTTATGTACCTGCCCCAAGTCAGTTCAATTGTTGACGTTGTATAAATGTGTGTCATTTTTTTTTTGTAGATTGTTTAAATATAAATAAGACCGTTTGTTTTTTCGTTTGAATTTTTTCACATGGTGCATGGTGGCCTTTTATAGCTGACTATATGGTGTGTTGAAGGCTGTACGGTTGCCTATATATGATTTCTTACATCCACTGCATTTAAACTCTGGTGGATAGTTGTCTCATTGTCAATAACACCACAACTTACTTTATTTTAACTTTTATGTTGCGTTTTGTATACTGTAACATTTTTATCTTTTGTACGCATACCCCGGAGCCCTCTTTTCGGAATCCCGAGCAAAACTTGAGTCCTTGTTCCGCGATAGAAAATTTAATTACGAACTCATATAAGATAGCACGAATTTCAACTCAAAATCTTAATTAATCTAAATGAGACTTAAATTCTAATCTTACTCAAACTCAAATTTAATGGTGTAACTTGAACTCTACCTTTAAATGTGACTCAAACTTGAAGTCCAACTCGAAACTCAATGCTAACTAAAACTTTAATTCTAATAATGACTTGAATTCGGAATCGGAGACTAACTCAAAGTTCTACTCAAACAGTAACCCTAACTTTAATTTGAACTCTAATTCGATGGATGGCCACACTCATCCAAGGCACATACAACATGGAAATCTATCTAAAAATAGAACAGGTTTTTTCCGAATTGGTCACGTGATTTTACCTCATCAAGTAATGGGATAACCACATCAAAGAATGACAGGACCACATCAAATAATGAAACAAACACATCGTGTAGCGTAAAATCGTCAAATTTTGAAACATCATTACGTAATGTTAAAACCATATAAAGAATAGGCAAATCATCATTACAAAATAACAAAACCACATCATGTAATGAAACAATTACATAACGTTAAGTCACATTCACATCAAGTAATGTTAAAACCACATTGACTAATGTCACAACCACATTAAATAATGGTGAAACCACATCGAGTAATGACAAAACCATATTGAGTAATGACAAAACTATATCAAGTCAATACGAAACCATATCGTGTAATATCGAAATATCATTAAGTAATGACTATTCCATATTGAGTTATATCAAAACATCATTACGTAATGTCAAAACCATATTAAGTAAAGACAAAATATCATCAAGTAATAATAAAACAACATAAAGTAATATCAGAGTTCCACATAAGACAGCTGAGGCGTTCCATATTTAAATGTTAAGAAAGTATGAGGGTAATAATCGCGACAAAAATGCTACTTCGATTATTCAGATATGCATATACGTGCTTCATAATAAGACAAAATCGAACGCTTCACTTTAAATAGGAATTAATAAGATTCAGTCTAAAGAAAAGGATTCAATTCGATTACAATTTGTGACAAAACAGTCGCGGAAATATTGGTATGTAAGATTTCCAGGTGTCTCCTTTAATTGGCTGGCATTACAGTGTCTAATTAATTTTCATAAAATTTAACATTTTATTCAATTCAAATTAGGATTTTGACCATACCTTACAAAATAACAGAGATACGAATAATAGTAATACAGAAATAACGATGACTTGCTTCAACAGATAGCTAGTTTGTTTTTCATTTGAACTTCAAGTATAAAGGTGTGTTGTTTGCGATGACTTCTAATACTATGTATAGTTTTTAAACAAAAATTCCACTTGATTACTTAATACATGGACAGTTATTGGTAGTCGAAAAAGTATTAACAAACATATCGAACTCCAAGGTAAATTCAAAAAGGGGAAGTCCATAAAACCGGATAAATTAAACATAGGAAGCTATTAAACCAAGAGTTCCAAAAAGTAAAGTTGAAATTATCCCTTCGTTAATTTTACGGCCAGCATCACGAGTTGCTTGTGTTTAACAGATGACGACGGATGTGTGCCAAGTAATGAAAGAAGACTAAAATCCGGGTTACAGACTAAAACCGTGGGAATAAAAGGAAAACAACGGAATAACAGAAAACACTGAACTGCAACAACAAAAAAACGGCAACATACGTAGAAACAGACTATTTGATAACATTTGCCATATTCCTGACTTGGCACAGCACATTTTAAGAAAAAAAAGAAGGCTATACTTGTGTAAAATTCCTACTGCACCCTCTGTCTTTAGAATATTTACTAATTAAAATGCATTTTAGTGCTTTTGGTCTGATTTTTGTTTGAAGGAAGACCACTTCAGTATCCGGATGGGGACAGGATAACTTAGTTGCGAGCAATATATTTTTTTACAACTGTTGTTCGACCAGTTTAACTATTTCGTACAGCAGCATTTGTGTTTACTTTTGAACATACTACAGATTGTCCATTTTTATTCTTTAACAAGCCCCATCCCGCCATAAAAATCAAGATTTGGTATTGGTTCTAATTGAATTATATTGTTCATGTTGTACATGTAATTTACACGAAATGATTGAACATTAGCATGATAAGTGCAGAATTACGAAGGCTGAATGTATGGGTTTGATTTTAAATTCAAGTGAAATTATTATATGCATATCAGGATGATAAACTGTAAATGTTAAGAAGCAAAACATTTATCCTTGCAACAGGCCACCAACAGACCTTTCAAAGAGTTGTTGCAGGCATTCTGCAATGTGAAGAGACCATGGTACTTCTCTCGACCTGGCGTGGTTTTGTAAGTACATACTGGCCACACAAACGCTCCCCTTTGGCAAGCCTTTTAATGTCGGTCAGATTAAGTTCGGATCATTTCCAATACGTAGTCACGGGTTTTGAATTGAGGTGCATTTATTTATCATAATGCCACATACCAATTATATCTGACTGACCACGGATGGGTGTATTCACTCTGAACTTAGTACAGATCTCAATATGAGTTGACAATTAATACAAATACTTTATAAATCCAATTATCAACCCATAAAGGCACGTAAACGACTATGACTGGAAGGGACTCATGTCCTTATTAACTGTATGATAGTTCCAATAATGACACGTGATAGTTTTGCTTCAAGTCTTGCTTGGTGATGTCACAATCAAGGAACGATAATGTGTCTATAGTATACGGATGACCCACTCGCAGTATCATTTTCTATGTTCAGCGGACCGTGAAATTGGGATCAAAACTCTAATTTGGCATTAAGATCATATCCAAGGAATTATGTGTACTAAGTTTCAAGTTGATTGGACTACAACTTTATCAAAAACTACCTTGACCAAAAACTTTAACCTGAAGCCGGACATACGGACGGACGGAAAGACCAAAAAACATAATGCCCGTAGGTTGGACACAAAAAGGGTTAAGGATTGTGGCTCAACAACTTAATCATATATATGCATTACTGCAAATCGAGATATATATCTAAATTGACATTCGGAATTAGTGCACAGAAAATAATTTAAAACTGTATTTCAGCTCAATGCAAATACAGATATTTTAATTAATGTTTTTTTTTAAATATATATTTTTGAAAGATAACACAGTTCTTCAAAGATAAGCATTACAAAAACTCACTATATAATTGTGCAGCATTTCCATAAATCAAATTAATCAATCTTAAAGTGTCCTTTGTCAATCAACAATTACATCAATATATTCCCACCATAACTTATCTGTTTACAACATATCACGAGTTATCAAAGCAACAAAAAAAAAAAATGGGGAATGAGCAGAGAAAACTGTATTTCAACTCAATGTAGGTAAAGAAATTCATGCAATGTTTTTCATATAATCTTCAAAGATGACACAGTTTAAGCATTGCAAAAACACACTTTATAATAGTACAGTATTTCCATAAATCCAATAATCAATCTTAAATTTTCCTTTGTTAATCAACAATTACCCAATATATTCCCACTATAAATTACCGGTTTACAACATGCCATGTAGGCTGCATGAATTTTATTTCTATTGTAGTGATCAGGGCAACAACAAAAAATGCCAGATTGTGTAGAAGGGCAATTAAGCCTTTAAGTGTTTGTGAATTTTTTGTACAAATAGAAAGTAGTTAGATTTTGATATTCTGAACTTTTTCTCCAATTATATATCTGTATTTTTCATGGTTTCAAAATAATACCCAATTAGATGCATTTTACTATTAAGTTCCATTTTAAACCATGAAGGGCATGTTTTTCTTAATTTGAATAAAGTGTGCAGTTTCAGAGAAATGTTTACAAAAAGATTACAGACTACAGATGCCAAAAAACTCATACTGGCCTTAAGTCAAATAAACTTATTATAATGGATCTGTAGTGTTTTCTTAATATATTTTTTTCACAATCAAACTAAAATGTGACCTTTCTAAACAAAGTTGTGCAATTTTCTATTTCAGTATTAAACAGCTGACTATATGACATCTCAGAACTCTTTTGCCTTCACTGAGACTATTAATTTTATACAAAATGACAATTTCAATAAAACTTAAGGCAAATAATATTTTATAAAATTTATTATAAATACTGACATTTGTGAAGCATATAATAAGAAGTGATTCAATAACAAGTTTGTACCTGACAAGTACATATGCACCAAAAACTAGAGGCCCTAGAAAGGGTTAATATTTTAGTAGCCTGCCATCTTTTTGTGGTCAACAAGTATCCTTGACAACAAAATGGAAAAAAAATAAAATCTCTAAACATTAGAATGACATTTTAAACAAATTTTGACAAAAGTTGGACAATGCCATAAATTTTCAGTCAGGGTAAATTTTACCTCCTGAACAAATAAATGTTTTTTTTGAAGAGTGACTGTAAAATATTTTTCAAAAACAGTCTACCATATAATTGAAAGATATAACCCAGTTGATTCTATATTGGAAAGACACATAATGTTTTACATTGAAAACTTTTGCAGTCTGTTCCTTTTTTCGATGACAGTGATTGTGACCTAAAGAGAACAACAAATAATCCTTTCCAGTGCCTCTTTTACATTTAACAAGCACAAACAAAACATGGACTGTATCCATCACCTCGGACCCCATTTGCAGTACTTTGAATCCCACTGAACTGTGTAGTTTAATAAATATGGTGAAAAATAATCCAAAAACATTTACCCCATCTTCTCTCTCAAATTTGTCTTTACTGAATTGATATTTGGAACAGTGTCTTTTATAACAAATCGTTTTTCTCTTACATATATGTCTGTTTATTTATCAAGACATAAGGTCAAGACAAAAGTCCATTGGCATTATTAAACATGTAGTTACATGGATGAGTCATTCATTAAGAGTTTTTTTTTATCGTTAGAAACAAATGTTACATGATATTATCATTAATTCTAATTGTATAACAAAGTCATAAGACTCCCCGAAACTCCAAGTTTTAAAATTTTGTCTTTGTTTTTTACTTTAAAAAGCATAAAAAAAATTCCAAAAAAATTTACTTTCAGATTTTCATGTCATTCTAAAAACTGTAAAATAAAAAACCTCAATTTTTTATTAGATTGGTATATATAAATGATTTTGTTAGACTTCTATCTATTATCAAAATGGATGTAAAACACATATTTAAACTATTTTATTCAATAAAAAATCCAATAAAAATATCACAAAACCGACTCAATCTATATTGGAGCTATATCTAAACTATTCCAATAGACTTTATCGATGATTAGTATAACGTCATAACTTTTCAATCTAAGCTTACCACTATTTGTTCAAATTTGACTTAACTTACAAGAAAATATTAGATCTGAAGGAATTATATAAATTCTTGATTGCATAAAATATTGCAATAAATAATATTAACCAGTTTAAGTTATACATACAGAAGTAAAATATCAAGTTTTGTTCATTTAATTACAAAATTAAGATAATCCAAGCAATCAAAGGGAGGCAACTGCCAAATTTTTATAACATTTTGAACATAATACTGAAAACCACACATCGTTTATCAAATCTGAAAACATTGAAATACATGCACAGACAAACCTTTTGCTTCTCTTCATTCAAACTCATGCAAGTCAGGATGAAAAGAAACACATATTGCATACCCCATACTTAAGTATTAGTTTAATGTAGCTCTCATTAATTGCATTCTTAAAGGTTTCACATATTTTAATAACATGACACAAGCCTGACAAGGTATTGGTGCAAAGGTAATTAAGCTATAAAGTATAAAAAAAATATTATCCTTGTGCTCTGGTAATATCAATTTAGACATGACACTTTTATAAATACAAACTTTAGATTTAAATATTTTGTGATCAAGTTAAAGATTATGGTTTTTCCAAGAAAATAAGTAACGTTCACTTTTCCATAAAAATAGATGTTTAATAGATGCTCTCCTGAAGAAAAAAAAACATCTATTAAAAACGTTGTTAATATTAAATACTTATGTGCAATCATTTTTAAATGAATTAAGACTTAAAATATCCATTCATGAAAAAAATTATTAACACAATGTTGATGTTTTAATAATTATTATGCAATTACTTAATCTTCAGTCTCTCAACATTCTAAAGGCTGGAGAAAATAGAGTATAAATTTTCAGCAATAAAACATTTGTTTACAAATGTAACAAGATCTATATCAAATAGAATGTTTGAAATAAAGTTTTGAATCTTTAGCTATTAATTTGATTGTCAAAAGAAATTTTGTTGAAAATAGTTTATTATAAATCTAGACCTTATGTCTATGATTGATCTTTACTTGACGAAGCTACTTGACATGCTTAAGATGGTTTTTACCTTCATCAAACTAATATTTTAAAACAAAATTTCAGTGTGAAATAAATTCGTAATTTTTTTTTTCAATATATATTCTTAAAATTTTATGAATGTGATGGCAGTACATGAACTATAAACACACTTCTGTCACAAACCTTCTTTTTATGAGGACTTAACATTCAAAATTCAACATTATTTTTTATGACCTTGATTATGACAAATAGTGAAAGCTTCAAGCTCTCACAATATTATTTTAAAAAAAAATTAGTTTTAGTTATTGTTCAGTCATTGTAATAGCTGCTTAATGTCCTCTTTTTCTGCACATTCTAAATACGACATCCCATCAGGTGAACTACCTTCTTTACTAGCACCCTGTAAAATAATTATTTCAATTAAAAGTTACATTTGTATCTTGACACGAAATATTATAAAATAATAAACATCATCTTGACACCAATATCATATTATAATAGACATTATATTGACACCAAATATTGTAAGACTTCATTAAATGTTTAATATCTTGATCCCAAATATTTAAAGACTAAAGCTCTGCCTCTCATAATTTCTTACCTCATTCTTAAAATTTTCTCAGAACAACCTTTTATTTTTATCAACCTTAAAATTTTTCAGAAACACCCATAATCTTTGGCCCTCCTCTCATGAAAATGAGTAACAAAAAACGGTGAAGTGTTTTTCTTTGTCCTAAGTTCTCCATTGTTGTTACATGTACTATTTTTTTTCACTGTGAATAACATTTGCAGAATCCGTTGATTGTGCATTGAGGTCCATGTATTAGCGATTCTGTGTTACATTGAAAGTTTCTGGTCTGTCCCCCAATTGATTTTTCAGTCAGGTCTCATATGTTTGTGGCATATTCTCCAAGTAAAAAAATATCTACTTTTATTGACAGTTATAGAAATTCAGTTAACAACATCATAAAGACATTAATTATTAATAAACATTGTTTAGAAAATGGTGTGTCTTAGACTCATCTAGCTATAGACTACATGTAGCTGCTGTGATTTTTCTTGTGTCACATGTATGTGTAATTGAAAGACTTTGACGAACTGAAACTTGTGATGAGGTTCAAAATAACTTGCAATGATATGTCAGACTTTGCTCTATATTGAAGGCTTTAGTGTTATCATGGTTATGAATTTGAGATGAACAGCATTAATCCTGTTTTAACTTAGATTTTTCGTGTGCCTGTAGAAAGTTTTTTCCCCAAGTGAATACCATATCCTTTATTTCCTATAAAAAATACATTGTATAACAATTATCTAAAACTCTTTTGTCATCTAACTTACCTTTTGTAAAAGAATTTTAACACTACTTGTATGACCTTCCCATATTGCTGCTAATATAGGTGTTATTCCATGTTTATCTTTAATCTGAAAATATTAAACAAATTATGATCACTATAATGTAGTGTACAGGGGTGTGGAAATGCCATGCCTGACTCGCCTGACTCATACATTTGACCAACCGGACAAGCAATTTTTTATGTCTTTGTTGCCCGTGGACAAGTAAAAAAAATGTTGCTTGACATTTTTAATGCATATTAATCACATAAAAAAATCCTCAAAAAAATTCATTCATAATAGTAGAAAAAATATAAAAAAACAAGACGAAAGCAACATGTTTTAGTAAAACAACATCAATGATCAAGAAATAGATTGATTACAAAACAACAAAAAATAAGTATGCGGACCCTGGTGTCATTAATATTCTGTGATATTTTCCCATTGATCCGGGATCGTTGATCAGGTTATAGCAATGGTAAGAAGGAAATGGTCATTATTAATTTCGAGCAGTGATTTTTCAAGTATGAAAACTAAATGTCAAGTTGGATAAGCATTGGATAGGTCATCGATCGGAAGTTGACCAACGGAAAAATACGGAAATTAGAAGCAGCAAAGCGCAAATATTATAAAAATAAACAGAATAGAGGATTTAAAGTTCTATAATATTTTAATTGAGCTTATAATAAGTTGTTCTTAAAAAATCTCAAATTTTATAATTGGTTCACCAAAAGTTTATTGAAGGGAAAAGGAGGAGGGTGCAAACAACAATTCAATAATTCATAATTTATTTTGTTTCATCTCTTCATTAACTATCAAACTCTAGATTCTTTAATTTAGAGTTGTTTTGGGATGGTTTCTACTGTAATGTAGCTCAGTGCTGTATATGCTTGGATGGAGAGTTGTCTCATTGGCACTCATACCGCATCTTCTTATATCTATTAACTTATCTTTGTATCATTCTAATATGCAAACAAAGACCATGCATACCATTTTTATTGTGTTTCAGAACTGTTTTAGAAACATATACGTTTACAGAAAAATACATCTTCTTCATTCCAAAATTCATTAAGAAATAAGGGCAAGTAACTTTACTTTCGGACAAGTAAAATTTACAATTTTACTTGCCCGGGGACAAGTGGTCACAACAAATATTTCCACACCCCTGGTGTAAATTCAGAAATTATTTCTTGCATTTATTATTATGATTTTTCAAAATCGACCAGATATCCTATTACCTTTGAACTTGCATTAACTTGCCCTCCCTTATCAACCAGATATTCTATAACATTTGAACTTACATCAACTTTCTCTCCCTTATCCATCAGATATCCTATAACCTTTGAACATACATCAACTTTCCCTCTAGGCCTTATTGCCCAGATATCCTATAACCTCTGAACTTACATCAACTTTCCCTCCCTTATCCACCAGATATCCTATAACCTTTGAACTTACATCAACTTCTCCTCCCTTATCCACCAGATATCCTATAACCTTTGAACTTACATCAACTTGCCCTCCCTTATCCACCAGATATCCTATAACCTCTGAACTTACATCAACTTGCCCACCCTTATCCACCAGATATCCTATAACCTTTGAACTTACATCAACATTCCCTCCCTTATCCACCAGATATCCTATAACCTCTGAACTTACATCAACTTTCCCTCCCTTATCCACCAGATATCCTATAACCTCTGAACTTACATCAACTTGCCCTCCCTTATCCACCAGATATCCTATAACCTCTGAACTTACATCAACTTGCCCTCCCTTATCCACCAGATATCCTATAACAGTCAGGGGTACTACTTGTACATGTAATCTGTATTTACTTGAAGAAGTAAAAAAAATATACTTATATAAGTTAATTATAATGTTTGAATAATCTCCCCTTAATTTTCTCAAAAATTCACTTGTATAAGTAAATTTTTTTTACAATCCCACAAAATTTCTCAAGTTTGGAGATGTAAAAACATGCCTTTAATGATTTTTCCCGGGTTAGCTCATAATTTTTTATTAGAGTTCAATGTTTTTTCTCATTAATTCAACAAAGAAACTGATTGCGCAAAGATCTTAAGTATTTGGCAAGGCCTTCAAAAATTGCTCCTTGTAAATGAGCAGTGTTCTGAAGATAACCGACAAATGAGATTTTCATTGTCCATGAAATTACACTTAAATGATTAGTTAAGACATCTGCAAAGGACAGACAATTTACAATTCTATTAGAGCAAAGAAGTCCTAAGAATTCAAGAAAAGAAGATAGGATGACTTTTTCACTTATATAAGTAAAAAAATCTGAATGTCTAAGGGACATAACTAAGCCAATTTTGTGTTTACCTATACAAGTAAATAAAATACACTTGTATAAGTATCCTACAAATTTACTTAAAGAAGTATATTAATATTACTTCTTCAAGTAAATAAAAATTACTTGTACAAGTAGTACCCCTGACTGTACTATAACCTCTGAACTTACATCAACTTGCCTCCCTTATCCACCAGATATCCTATAACCTCTGAACTTACATCAACTTGCCCTCCCTTATCCACCAGATATCCTATAACCTCTGAATGGCCATAATCTGCAGCATAATGTAATGGTGTTCTTCCTTCTATTTCTTCATTCAAATTGACTCCCTGAAATAAACAAACAAATTGTTGCAAGATATTTCAATTGTTTATAACGAAGTTTCCAATGGACCTTATGTATTTAATCATTGTTATTAAGTGGAACAAATGTTGAGACAGAACCAGGCAATTGGTCGAGTTTTAGCTATTGATGCATGGGATGTAACATCATGAACTGATGCATGGGATGTAACATCATGAACTGATGCATGGGATGTAACATCATGAACTGATGCACGAGATGCAACATCATGAACTGATGCATGGGATGTAACATCATGAACATTAATGTAATCAATCAGTTCATAGTTTGTATTTTTATTTAGTATAATATACTAAACATGCTAAATAAAAATACAAACTATCAACTGATTGATTACATTAATGTTCATGCACTGACTATAAGAAGTAAACATATGCAATTGATCACAGAGTTGAGATTAGGTAGGCATTGACACTGGTCAGCTTTCTTTTTGGGGTACTTATAAAGTGCGAAACAGAATTGAAACAAACCAAAACGAAAATATGACAAAAGACAACGAAATATAACGAAATGAAACAGAATAGAAAATGAAGAAAAACAAACAACGAAATCAAAATGAAATAATATATTTTTAGCCCAATAGCACTTGAGAATCCGACCGTTTAGGTTTATGCAATTGTGTGGTGGCAGGTGCTCTTGATAGTTATCATTATTACAACCACACAACAGTATAATTTTAGACACTCAAGTCTGTTTGATCTGTATTATCTAAATTCTTGTCAATGTTTTAAACAACAGTGGACCCCCTGAAATGTGAAGCATGTTTTATTGTTCATAATTGATTTTATGTTGAAAATCAAAATAAAAGTTTTTACTACAAGCTTTAGCTTTACATTAAATTAATACAATGTAATATTGCAGTGATAAATGAGCATGAATTGAAGGTGAGCATGGTGAGATAAATCTTTCAGACAGACATGGAAGCTGAATAAAATCATTCCTTTCACTGAAATATAGTAAACCAATTGCTTAAAGTATCTCAGAAACAAACCACATGACGAAAACTGAACCTTGACTAATGAACCATGAAAATAAGGTCAAGGTCAGATGAAATCTTCCAAACAGCAATGAACAGTTATATATACATTTTGTACATCTTACTAGCATCTTATAGACGGGTTAATCCACGTCTTATCTCAAAAACATGTGCGCTGCCATTAAGAGGTCACGTGGTACTTCGGCCATAGCACTCGTGAATGATAACGCACGTGCAGTCATAATCTATATAGTCTATATAATTATCGGTCATTTATAACGTTTTTGTTTCACATATTTCATGTACATATGACCATGGAAAATAACGAAAAATATAGGAAAGCTTTGGAAATAAACATGATTTGTGCTGTTAATGGATGTTCTAATAATCGTCGTTAATTAAATGATTGGAATTTTAACGTATCATTTTGTGAATTACATGGACAAAATCACGAAGACTGTTCTAGTTTGGTTCCATTTAAACTACATGTTATGCCCGCTAATGAGACAAAACGATTACAGTGGATTAAAGCTTTAAATAGAAAAACACTTCCAAAGCAAGTATTCGTATGCTAGGATCACTTTCTAGACGGAGCTCCGACGGAACAAAATCCTTTCCCAAAATTAAATCTTGGGTATGAAAGCCAGACAACCCCCGGTAGATGTAAACTGTCGAGACAAGAACCAGAAATGAGAAAAAGAAAACGTTTACTGGAAGAAAGCAGTAGTACCGAGACGAGTGTTGACATTAATCAGACTGAAAGACCGTCTAATTCTGAACTGCTTCCAGAACCTTTTTGTGATTTTAATGTGGTTAATCCACCTAAGGCATCAGTTGGAACACAATATGTCGATTCTGATTATATGATTTCACAGGATCACATGTATTCAAAATCCTGGTCGGACACACAGAATACCTTTTCTCAAATGAATACGGCGTTGACTGAAGAAAAGGGGATTCAAGTCAAAATTGAAATTAGTGCTATGTCCTCAAAAATAAGTATAGTAACAGACAGTGACTCTTTGTTATATACTGGTGTAAGTAAAGAAGTATTCTTTACGTTAGCAGATGTTTTGTCAGAAGTAAATACATTTAACTTTCAACTTGAAGTCGCCGACCAGTTACTACTAGTGTTGATGAAACTTAAACTAAACTTGCTGTTTGATGACTTAGCTCGTAGATTTGGAATTTCTAAAAGTTAAGCTAGTAAAATGTTTTATGCTTGGATGCCAGTCCTTGCAGAAAAAACTTAAGGATTTAGTTGCATGGTTGCCGAGGGAAACAATACGAGCATGTTGTCCCGATATCTTTCAGAGAAAATTACCCTCGCACCACTGTAATTATAGACTCTGCCGAAACATTTATACAACGACCTACGAACTTGTAAACTAGAAGTGAAACTTTCAGTAATTACAAGTCGCACAATACCCCAAAATATTTAGTTAGAATATCTCCACATGGACAAATCATGTTTATTTCCAAATCTTTTGGCGGAAGAGCTAGTGACAAACTTATCGTGGAAAAGAGTGGATTTTTAAACTATTTATTGCCGGGTGACGAAGTAATGGCAGATCGTGGATTAACAATTGAAGATTTTCTTTTTCCTCATCGTGTAAAATTAAACATTCCTGCATTTACAAAATGCAAACCCCAGCTTTCAAATGAAGATGTAACAACTACTAGACGTATTACACATGTACGAATACATGTAGAGCGTGCTATTCGTAGACTGAAAGTATTTAAAGTTTTAAGTGGAACTGTACCAGTGTCGTCTTTAAAGAATTTTGATGACATACTTATTGTTTGTTCCGCATTGGTAAATTTGAGATCAGATTTAATACGGGATGTCAATGTACATACAGATTGAATACTATATAGTATAATTACATTGTAAATTGTGTTTTTCGTCCTCCATTTTTTTTTTATTACATTTTTATTCAACCTCCAGAACTGAGATTGTTTTATTCTAATTAATTGATTTCCATAATTGACTTGAATGAAAGAATTCAGGAAGTGTGATATATGTCAATGAGACTGTAACCCAACAATAAAAGTTAGATTAAATCATCAAAAACTCTTCAATGAACAGTGGACTAAATCTCCTGTCTTGGATGTCATTAAATGTGAGTGTGTATAAACTAGCTTGGAGACGATAATTCCTGGTCTTCTTCTTATTATTGTTGTTATGAACAAGTGAAAATTAAAAGATAATTGTATATTAAATCACATATATATATACTGGTAATCATAGACCTGCTCATTACTTTTTATTATTAAATTGTATCGAATTATGAGCATCTGGACTTATCAAAGTAGGAATTACGGGTCTTCTGAAGTGAACTTCTGGGGTAATACATGTTTATTACATAACAAGCAATTACATTAACATGTGAAGGTAAACAAGTCAACACTGTTTCCCTTTCCAACTATGATTATTCCTAGTAAATTACACACTTGTCTATGAAGTCTTCTTGTCCAAACGTCAACATTGCATACCAATGTGTTATCTCATTAATATGAGATAATTATCAAATTTAATAATTCAGATCATTTATTTTGGTTGTATCAACAATAAATTTATGTGTGTTCAGATAGCGTGCTTTCTCTAATGTTTACAATGTTTCACGACCTTAATGGCGACCGAACATCGATGAACTAGTGCGGACATGTGCAATACTAAGGGGGGTAATTAGAAAGACCCGTCTATAAACCAAATTATTAATGTAGCATGATATAATGCACCTCTTCTTTAATGATCAACTATTGATATGAGGACTAAACATTAGTTTGTTATTGTGGTGCTGTTATATTGCCCGCATCTCATTTTATTCATGTATTTTTACAACAACCGTATTAATTAAAATCATAAAAATTCAAACATATCAATTAGAATAAGATGCTCGGAAATATGCATGATCCAAATGTTCTTCTTCTGATATATACATGATATACAGTTTCAGCTTCATATATATTTAAGATTACCAAATTGTTGCATGCATGGAGTACATGGAGTATGTGATTAAAATTAAATTTGAAACAAAAATTTATTTTTTCAATTTCTAGATACTTGAATGCCAATGGTGATATTTACACGAAATAAATATACATGTATACATTAAATAACATCATTTACCACAGTATCAGTTCTTTTTTAAAAGAATATGAGCCAATAAATGGTCAATTTCCTTCCCATATAGTTTTGTTATTATATACTTATAAAATTTCATCATGTTATGTTACATTTCGCTGCTTTTCCTTATATTTCATTTTGTTTTACAAAGTTTCTAATCCCTTTCTCATTTTATAAGTACCCTTTTTTGTTGTGATCTAACTGAAATGGAAGTAAGAGAATACTAAATAGTTGACAAAGATTTGCAGAGCTCCATATAAGAATTCACAAAATGGGGTTTTTACCAACAATTTTTTATGTAATTAAGGTGGTACCTAACACTACAGGGAGATAACTCTGTAAAAATCAGCTAAACGTTTTAATCACGTTGTATTGTTAAGGAAATATTAAGCTTCTCAATGATCACAATTAGTGTTTATCAAACTGCTATATAACCAATGAAATTTTTCTGATAAACATGATAAAGTGGTTGGTTCAAATTTTTTGAAATTTTTATATTTTTGTCAAAGGGTCAAAGTAAACATTTTGTCAAAATTTTACGAAAATTAAACGAGCCAAATCAATATAAGTCAAGGTGTTGGGTACCACCTAAAGTGAAATAATTTTTTCAATTGCATTATTAATTCCTGTGAATCCAATTCACCCCTCAAGCCAATATCAAATTGGGTTTTCCAACACCAAGCTCCTTCATGTATTGGGTTTTTTCATCAACAAGATATTGAAAAATGATTTAGGCATGTTATAATGACATAATGTCAAACCGAGATTCTCACCCATCTTAACTGTGTTTCTTTCATTGTATATGTGATACATGTAGCTGTTTTATTTGGTTTATTCACTGTACGTCAGTTAATTTGTGTCCGGTTTTAACTGTTCTGCCAGTTTTGTATTTTGTCACAACTTATAAATATAAACTGGTGTCACTAGTGGGACAGTAACTAATTGTTTTTCTTGAGCACATATGATTACTCTTCAGTTTATTTGGGGTAGCTATACATGTATGTAGGTGTGGCTAAATTTTTATGTAATAAATTGTAAACAGTTACATTAGCTATAGATATTTTTGCAGTCTTATCTGTTGAGATTATTGCGGGAACGTAAACAATTGTACTTGTCCATTGTCGACGTCGTATTGTCAGTGACGTCGCATTAGGTGGAAGTACGTACTTGTATACTAAATGTAATGGCTGAACAGTTGTTGTAATTATGATATGAACTAGTACTGCTTGTCACACCTTCTTTTTCAAAATAAATAAGTGGTTCCCAGATTAAAGATGTACATGTACCTCAAAACCTTGACCAGGTTAAGGATAAGACCATGGAGTGGTTTAATGATTGAGACCACATTCAATTTACAAATAATCCTGCAACATCAAATAGATAAATGACGATTGTACTGCACTTGCAAATAAGACAACTATCTCAAGCATATAGAACAATTAGACCAAATATAAAGAAAGTAGCAAGCTGCTACATTTACCTCAAAACATTGTACATGTATGTGTGTTCACTCAACTAAAATGAAAAAAAAATATGTACTCTTTTAAAACAAAAATAATATTTGTTTACATAAATCAAGGTTTTGTAGTCCCTTATACATGTTATAAGAACTTCTTTCTGGTACTTTTCAGCTACATAGATGATTTGACCTATCACTATTCCAACTCATTTAGTTCTTGATGAAACTTGTGTTTGTTGTTCTAAAAATGTTCTCATAATCATGTTTATGTTCATTTACTACACTTGCAGGGGTAGTTATCTAGAGTAAACTTATGAGTCAGATAATAAGCCATTGATAATGGCAGGCAAACACGCCCTGGAGTCGCCAATGAAATTGATTGAACAAACCCATGCGTTTGAGGACTCTGCTGATAACACTAGCTACATGTAGTCTTGTTATCATCATAAATATCCCTCAGCTATCAAAAAGAAGCTGAACACATGCCTATTCAATATCTTTACCAGAAATTTACTTTCATTTTAAATCACTGCTATACATGTGCATGATGTGTAATAATAAATCTCGAGCAATTACAAAAATAATCATGATGACATGACTTACGCTAATTGGATAAACGCAGAGCAGATCGAAATCTGTTTTCTCCAACATGTGTTTTGAGCGGTCTCACTAATTAGCGACAAGAAGCGTCAAGAAGAAAAATATTAGCGACAAGAAGAAAATAATAGCGACAAGAAAGTTTTTTACTATTAAAATAATAGATTTATAGAAAACAAAATCATCTGATTATATCAAGGATCCATAAAAAATCTAAACATTCATGTATATATACATACCTTTTATTTTTTTTTATTAATAAGGTTAATATTTGAACCTTTTCAGTGTTCCAGCTAGGATTTCAAAAGGGCAGGGAGCCAATCATGAAAAGGGCACTTTAGAACGATGCCGACCGCCCTGTGAAAACGACCTAGTGGAACACTGCTTTTATCCTGTTAAGACAGAAAAAATGGTGTCATGTATTTATATATATGTATTGCCCTTATGAGTCTGAAATAAATATCTTATAATTTGGTTACAACCTTAACTTTGATACATGTACACCAACCATGCCAACTCTACATGAATATTGATTCCTTCATCTATATATTATGCTGTAAACTGAAGGTATATTATCTTTAACATATCCTTAACTAAGTTAATACTCTTGTTTCGAGCATTTAAAAAAAAAGACAATTCAATGTGTGTTTCAAAATTAATTTATTTAGAATAATTAGGTCTTTCCACTTTTCTGTGGAAAGACCTATTGTATTTGTTCTGATTATTATTATTATTATTATTATTATTATTTTTTTTTTCTTCTGCCTAATTTTGTTCTCACGTAAAATTTTTGTTTCGCAAGATGTCGCTTAGATATTTCTTATATAATATCATACAGTTTATGCGCTTTTTATTTTCACCCATTCTAAGCCGAACAATTTTCTTTGTAGGAGTTATCTCCCCGAACACTGTTTTCCTTGTTACTGCATCTCCTCCGTAACCGTAAAAGAAAGCGACAAATTTATTTTACCGAATTGCTCGTTATATCCTCAGGATGTTTTGTCCAATTTTGACCGAGGCGGTACGTAAACTCCATATGAGAGTTATTTCCCCTTCTGTATTTGACATTAGGGATATATAAATGTATAGCATGAATGGTAAGTGATAGAGACCTAAGGTATATTGATTTGAGTTCCTTGGTTCATTTAAATGAAATTGAGGCCAAGGTCAAAGGTCAAGGTCATATTCTAAATTTTGACTTTTCCTTGTTATTTGATCTCCTCTGTCACTTTTAAAGATACAAATTAAAGAATAAGTGCAAAATGTTTGCCTAATTGTGATTAAGATATGATACATTTGGTCTGAAACAATCCAATGAAATCTTATAGGAGTTATTGTCCCTGAAATGATTCAATTTAAGGTTAATTGATTATTACTCCAACTTGTTACATGATAAAGCCATAGGGTCTTTTGCAAACTGTTGGTTGACCTATGACCTTGAAAAATGTCAACCGGAAGTGACCTTGAGTGAACCGGAAGTAGTATTTTTTGCACTTATTTCATGGAAAAGTACCTAGAAACCATATATTTTTTGAATGACCATAGGTTAACCTATCTTTTGAGACCGGAAGTAACATTTTACAAACCGGAAGTAGCATATTATCTTCCTTATTACAGGCATAAGTATATACAAACTATATATTTTTGGAATCAGTGTCAATAAAGCTGTCATATGAGACCGGAAGTGACATTTTCTAAACCGGAAGTAGCTAATTATCTCCCTTTTTACATGCAAAAGTATATATAAACCATATATTTTTGGAATCAGTATAAATAAAGCTATCATATGAGACCCGAAGTGACATTTTCTAAACCGGAAGTTGGCAATTATCTTCCTTATTTCAGGCAAAAGTATATAGAAACCATATATTAATTGAATCAGTATGAAGAAACCAAAGCTTGGACGCCAATAGTAATTTTGAGTAAACTGGATGTAGCTTCTCATCAATAATTTAGAACATTGATGTGGAAAGACCTTGATAATAAGATTGTTTACGCTAAATTTGTTTTCTAACTTTTCTTGTCACTAAATTATACTTCTTGTCGCTAAATTATTCTTCTTGTCGCAAATTTGTTTCTTCTTGTCGCTTCTTGACGCTTCTTGGTGCTAATTAGTGAGACCTGTTTTGAGCAACGGAAAATTCCAACAGGGACTCTTTTCAACTGCTTGATGTAACGCTCTATTTTTAGAATGAAAGGGCATTTCCCATTATAAATATTACATAAAAAGATTTATGCAACGACAATGTAATAGATAAGGGTAAATAACGCACATGATAGCGACTAAAAGAGTTAAGAACTTATGTGTTATGGTTTTGACATACTGTATAATTGGGGTTTCCTTTGCATGAATTGAGTTTTTGAACGCTGCAATGGGCAATTGAATTGGATTTTCAATTATCTTTGTTGCGTAATCACACAAATACGCAGCTTCTCTGGAGCTCTGATTTGATTACTTGTTCTTCTTATTTTATATTTAACTCCATCACGATGGTAACAACCCCCTCCTCTCTTCCTTTCTCTGTCCGGAAAGGATGAGGGAATGTCCCTTTCTACTACAGGAAATAAACGCCTTAGCCGTACAAGTTAGCTCAAGCTATAGACCTGTACAAGTAGGAGTGAAAAATTATCCATATCCTATAAGTTTTATCTTCACTGAGTAAAGTTCAGTCAAGATTTGGAGTAATAGGCGTACATATTGGCTGCTTTTACCTCTTGTACAAAACTCTGTACCGCGCCTAAATCGCCATTCTTCACTGCCCACAAAAAATCAGTCATTTCGAATGTAAGATAGTTTTCCTTTTTTTTTTGTCTGCAACCGGAAATTAATCAGTCACTCCTGATAAGGATGAAATGAGAAGATTGATTTGATTAGTCATTCTCTACACAGTCGACCAATCAAAATTACTCTAAGAAACCGGAACTTTGACATATTAAACTTTTTTTTGCGGAAAATTTGAAGAGAAAAAACATTACATGTCTTGTTTTACAGTGCCAAAATCATTAACGTAAATGTGTTTGCGGAAATAAATATTGTCTTTCTTCCAAGACATAGACCATTCATAGTGTGTGTGTCAAAATAAGAGGGAAAGGGGAGGGGCGGGGTCCCAGTGCGAGACAACTCGGCCAAGAGACAACTCGGACCATCTACAATAAAATTCTTCACCGAGAGCAGTACGTATGATACGACCGCAGAGGTCGAACCGTGAACATTTGGGCAAGTTTGGACACAATATTCAAGCTTGATACTGTCTGAATTTGGATTGTGATCAAATTTTTTACAAAATATAAGTATCTGAAACAAAATAAATGTAGTGGGCCTCATTGGGGGTCTAAGCGTGACGCGTGATTGCCGATTATTTGTAAGTGTGACACGTGAAAGTCAAATTATTGTGCCGTGAAAACGGAAAATGAAGTCTAGCGGGACACGGGAAATTACAAAAAAACGAGAATTGCTTACGTACATAGTGTAAGCGGGATACGGGAATCTGACAAAACAGTACGCGTAAGCGGGATTCGGACTCAGAACCCCCAATGAGACCCCCAATGTAGTCAAAGATCTTAAAAATTTGAAATGGGACATTTATGATTTAATTCATCTAGTTTGGTCTGATATCCAAAATCCAACGACATGGTTAGATTCAGCCAGGAACATATATATATATATATAGATATACTGTTCCCAGATTCCGCATAGAAAAAACACCAAAAAATATAATTTGAAAACAGGATCCACAATAAAAATCTAAATGCGCAATTAGACTTAGCATATCATATAGCGCCATATTAATTCAGTTTTTGATGAAATCTTTTTCATTTCATTTTTTTAATTTTGGACCTATGCTTTGGACCTCAATGTAGACAATTTAAACAAATTGGGCCCAAAATAGTAATACAAGGTTAGAACCAAAACTTAAGACTCTGAATTAATCCCAATTGAAATTGGTTAAAAGATTTGTATTTATAATATTTTCAATTGAAGATGTCTTGCTATTGCGCAATACTGTGCTGTTGTTCAGTACTGTGCTGTTGCACAATACTTAATTAATAAGCTATATATATATTAATTTACACACCCTGTTTGGTGTCACGGTATCTCCAGCCATATCAGTATTTGTTTTTGTTGCTTTTATATATATAAATCAGAATAATCAATGTAAAATGGTTTGTTTTTTTTGGGGAAAAAAAGTAATGAAAACTAATCCCCCCCAAAATTGTCACCTCCCAAAAAAATAATTTGGCCGGGGAATTCGAAATTTAGAAAAATCACGACGAAAAATAGTATGAACGAAACTGAGCATTGTTAACGCTTTATTTTGCTGTCAGGTCTAGGTATGGATGTGTAAACATAACGGTTGAATTGGTTACGAGTGATGGCTGTCTTATAGGGTGAGCTTGTAGGGTTTGGAATAACTACATAGATATAAGAAGATGTGGTATGTGTACAGTTTGTTTATATGAGAAAATTCTGGGCCTTTTTGTAAGTTTATTTTTCTATTATTAATGCTTTCGTTCAATTTGGGAGACTCGCGGATTAACGTCAACCCAGGAGCAAATATTTCAGGTTCGCGAGTTTACTGACATAACACCAGTAATTAATGAATGGAATAACGATATTAGAAGGCAACTGAAAACAACAGATTATATAACAACACCACAACAAAACATACGAACATGAAGATATTTCAAGAATAAAAATAAATACTTTGCACCTAAAGCGGCATGGCAGGTATTGAATATAAAACAGAAGATGTGCTGGGTATGATTGATAATGAGACGATTCTTCACAGGAGACCAAATGACACAGAAATCATAACAAACTATATATCACCGTACGGCCTTTAACATACAAAGCCCATACCGCATAGTCAGCTATAAAAGGTCCCGAAATGACAAATGTAAATCAATTCAAACGAAAAAAATAACGGACTACTTAATGTACAAAAAATGAACAAAAAACAAATATTAAACACAGCAACAAACGACAACCACTGAATTACGACACCTGACTTGGGACAGGCACATACATACAGAATGTGGCGGGATTGATTATGTTAGCGGGATCCCTGAAAGCTGGTTCGACTTTAAAAAGGGAAATTACAGAGTGGTCTAGTTGAGTACTAGTATTCTGAAACGACGTGCTGATTTTGACAATTACTTAACACTCGCTTGTGATTGGTGCCTTGACTTTAGTGGTTCCTCAAAATTGCGTCGGACTCAGTAAAACATGCACCCATCAGCACATACTGGATGTGCAGAAGTTGCCATTGTAAATGAACTATATAATCTGTATGCAATAGTGTTAAAATTGTTGAGTTGTTTATAAATAAAAGTTTTCAAGTTGTTTTTAATATATCACATACAATCATATGGTACAAACTATAATACTATTCACAGCATACATTCAAATGCATTAAATATGTTTATTTAGGTTAACGTAACAATAACACAACGTAACTGTAGACCCAAAGGTTATTGACACATTCGTAATTAACACAACGGTCCCCAATATAGCCTTGCATTCCGGCAATTAGTGTCCAACTTTTTCTTATCCCATAGTCACGTTTTCAACGTAATCGTAAAAAGTGCAATCTTGAAAACTATAATAGTTAGTGAAACTTTAGAAGAAAAATCATTAGCAGTACAAAATCAGTTTAAAAAAAAGAGATTTTCACCATGAATGCTGTTGTAGTCCACATGCAATGTTGGAGAGTGCATGTCCATTGTTGAAGATGCGAATAGACCTTGGTGAGAAAAACAGGCTCTTTCGAGCATCTAGTTAACTTTTCCGATTCCTGAAGTTGCCTTTGTTTGTAGTCCCTTTTTTTTCTCTCACAATCCTGGGTTTTTACCTATATAGGTGCTCTCTGGACAAACTGATATTTTTCGACTTTCATCATAACCAATCATTTTTCTGGCAATAAAAGAAGATTGTCTTCAAAACTCAATGCTGGTCATATCATTTCCCAATTATTTCCAATCGAAATTCTTAAACTTTCTTTTATTTTCCTGCTGGAATTAATTATAGTATTGATCGAATAGTATATTTTTTTCAGTAACTAATTTAATTACACCGCCCCTTTCCAACCTTTCGGAGGAGGGGAAATAAACAGACAAGACAAATAATCGGTTCTTAATAACGCAGTGCTTTACAGCCGATTGCATTAAGTGTGTAGGTAAAGGTAATATCTTTGGTTAGCTTGCTTGCTAGCTGAACCGTGAAGTCAGGTAAGGTATAATTCCCTCCTTTCGAAGTAGCCTAGTCTGACAGACAGATAGATTTGGTTATCTGTCGGACTAGTCTACTCATAAAGTAGGGTAGTTTACATAACCTAATAATGACTTCAGGTTTCAGCTAGCAAGCAAGCCAACCAAAGATTTTTCCTTTACCTACACACGCAATGCAATCGGCTGTAAAGGTTTAAATAATTTGTCTAATTTTTACCTATTGTCAGTCAAATTAGATCTAATAAAGAATACAGTAAAAACAACTTTTCACAAAACAGTGGATACATACAGATCGAGATTAATGAGATATAAAAAAAAACTCACCAAACACAATAGGCTTATGAAATGTCGTTTGAGGTCGTTAATTATAATACAAATTATAATTTAGCAAAATGATGGGTTTGTGAGCATTCGTACTACATGTACACCTTTTTCAAAGACCAAAAAATAGTGAAGACCTACCTTCATGACAAATTATGTTGTTGTCCCTGCAGACAAAGCCCACATGAACATCGTTTTGTTTGTAAATCACACAACATTGATTGCTTAGTTAAGGAATTAGGTATTGAAAATCATCACTTTGAAATCCGACATACCGGTATACGCCAAAAAACACTTATTAAAGGGAATATCCTGATCAGCCATATGTCTGTTGAAACTTGATATGTCTCTCAAATCAAATCCGGCAAAAGCTTTATTTAAAGTCGGCATGTCACAAAACAATAAAATAAGCTCTTTGAGCTTTTATAACCGACAAGTGCATGCATTAAATGATTTACACAATGAACATACACAATACTGATGTTAAAGCATAAAACTTGAGACATAAAATTAAAACATATATTGCATGCACAGTTAGGCAAGGCTGAACTGATGTCAATATTACACATTATATGCATGCATCAGCACTAAGCTAAACGAAGCATTTAAGCAGCAACATAAAACACTAAATCATGCCAAGAAATCCTCTCTCAAAAATCCGGTCGACCTCCTACGGCATCCATTAATAGTAGTTCAAGATTTGATTTCATTCAACAAATTAATTTATGACCTGCAAGTACGTGTCGCTTAGAACACAGCCATATACCAAATGGTTAATATTAATCGTCCGTGTAATTTGCTCTATGGGATATTTGCAAGATTTCAACGGAGGCAATTTCTTGGCATGCGTAGTAATCTCAAATTATAAAATGCTAAACTAATAAAAGACACAAAAATGAGTGGAATTATAATAAGAAGCATTACCGGTATTATGTTTCAAAGCTGTAACATAAGACATACAAATAAATACTGAGCACATGCATTGCAATGGCAGGAGTTGCCAGTGCATGAGTTTATTTTACTCTTGAATTAAGTGAATAATGTTTCAGTTCATAAGTGGTTTGGCAACTCATACCATAGTTTGGCTGCAGAATATATGAATGATTTCAAACCATACATTGTAGTTCTGACTGTAGGCATTATAGCTAAGTCTTGATATCCGAAAGAATATTTTGTTCTTTAATGTTTATAAGATCACGAAGGTATATTAGATATTCCTTATTTACTGTAACAGTTCTAAATTACCTCGATTGCCATGGTTGTTGTGCGTTTTACTTAAAGATATGGTATTTTTTATTTCAAAAGTAAATCATCAAATGTGCTTTTGTGATCCTGATGAATAAAGCGGATTGCTCTTTCTTGTATTTTTTTCAATTTTTAGTAGTGTTTGTGTATGACTCGCTGCAGAAATGCTAGGACAATGAGTAGAAGTTAAAGTTTGACATCATGGAAGAGTGATATATAATGTTCATTTCCACCGTTTAATCAAGTATTTGCTAAGTGTTTTTTTTAAGATTTTGTGATAACTGGTTGTGTTAGTTTTGGGAATCTAACTGAGATGTCATTTATTCCTGTTGCCTTTTTTATGTTTGATTTTTAAGTTGTTTGTCTACAAATTCATTTGAGATGATACTTAATTCTAGTTTTTGTGTGGCAGTTTTGCTTTCATGTATTTTTTAACACTTCGATGATTATTGTAACAATCTAATTAAAATATAGAACTCGGATTTCCGATTATACTACATACGAGTGGTATAACGAAATCCGAGTTCTATATTAATTAGATTGATTATTGTAAGAAATAAAATTGAGAATGGAAATGGGGAATGTGTCAAAGAGACAACAACCCGACCATAGAACAGACAACAGCAGAAGGTCACCAACAGGTCTTCAATGCAGCGAGAAATTCCCGCACCCGGAGGCGTCCTTCAGCTGGCCCCTAAACAAATATATATACTAGTTCAGTGATAATGAACGCCATACTAAACTCCAAGTTGTACACAAGAAACTAAAATAAAAATAATACAAGACTGACAAAGGCTAGAGGCTCCTGACTTGGGACAGGCGCAAAAATGCGGCGGGGTTAAACATGTTTATGAGATCTCAACCCTCCCCCTATACCTCTAGCCAATGTAGAAAAGTAAACGCATAACAATACGCACATTAAAATTCAGTTCAAGAGAAGTCCGAGTCTGATGTCAGAAGATGTAACCAAAGAAAATAAACAAAATGACAATAATACATAAATAACAACAGACTACTAGCAGTTAACTGACATGCCAGCTCCAGACTTCAATTAAACTGATTGAAAGATTATGTCTTCATCATATGAATATCAGGCACAATCCTTCCCGTTAGGGGTTTAGTATCATACCATCATAACATATATGAGAAGAACATAACCCGTGTCATGCCAACAACTGGTTTTTAAATAAATGTGTTTAGTGCCCATGCAAAGACCCTATAAGTGAATCAATATTAACGCCAAAATATGCAATCTTTAATGACCTGACAACAGTATCGTAACTATATCCCTTCTTAATAAGTTTATTTAAAGGTTTTGTTAGCTTCAGAGGTGAACACTGACATTTTTGTGCTTTATAAAGAATATTTCCATAAAAAATTGGATGTGAAATACCTGAACGTATAAGAAGTCTGCATGTTGAGCTATATTTACGAATGATGTCCTTATACCGATGATAAAATTTAGTAAATGTTTTGACTAGTTTGTGATATCGAAAACCCTGGTGTAATAATTTTTCAGTAATACATAAATTTCTCTCGTTAAAATCTAAAACATTGTTACATACACGAGCGAATCGTACAAGTTGAGATATATAAACACCGTAAGATGGTGACAAGGGAACGTCACCATCTAAAAATGGATAATTAACGATAGGAAAAGAAAAATCATCTCTTTTATCATATATTTTAGTATTAAGCTTTCCGTTAATGATATAGATATCAAGATCGAGGAAAGGGCAGTGGTCATTGTTAGTATTAGCTTTATTTAAAGTAAGTTCAACAGGATAAATTTCTTTAGTATACATACTGAAGTCGTCATTATTGAGAGCCAAAATATCATCCAAATATCTAAAAGTATTAATAAATTTGTGTATCAGATGTTGTTTCGATCGGTCTTTGCTGATTTTTGTCATAAATTGTAACTCATAGCAATACAAAAAAAGGTCCGCAATAAGTGGTGCACAGTTAGTCCCCATTGGAATTCCGATAACCTGACGATATACGGAATCTCCAAAGCGAACAAAATTGTTATCTAGTAAAAATTCAAGGGCATATATAGTACATGTGTTGTTGCCAATATCTTTTGCCGCATTTAAAAAAAATCATTGAAGTGTTCTGCAACTTTGTTTTGGTCACTTAGGGAGCTACCATTTTTATTCCACTGTTTTAACGTATTGATAGTTTAATCAATATTTGATTGGTTGAGACTATCCCACGTGTCATTGAACAAAATAATCTTCATATTCCATTCTGAGGATCATATTCCCCTCTGAAATGTTGGGATTACTTCGTGCGACGTTACGCGCGGTTAATGTACATAACGTTCTGAACTTCTTATTCTTCTTAAAATAGCGATAGCAAAAATCATTATCATGTTCAAATTTATTTCAGACGATAAAACAAAAAGACTTTTACTTAAATTTTGAACCTTACTGTTTATCAATGGGTATGTCGTGTTTAGTTTGACTTACCGTAAAACAAGCGGATAAGAAAAAAAATGTATGCAAAATAATATTTAATGTATTGATAGTATACAAAGCATAGGCAGTGGAATAAAACATTCATTTCCTTTGGCTCGGGAGATATGAAGATTTGCTCATGCACCCTCGAAAAACTTCATATTTCCCTCGGGCAGAGCCCTCGTGAAATATGAATAGTCGGCTTGGGTGAACAAATCTTCATATCTCCCTCCGGCACGGGAAATAAATGTATAACCTTCAGGGAGGGTTATGGTTTTTTGTATGAGTTAAAAAATTTTATTTGCCCTTTTTATTTTTTTCTTGAAAATTTATTACTATATGGTATGGGGAAATCTGGATTCAGAATATTTGTTTTTTTCATCTGCTTGACCACAGTATTTTTTTTTCCATTGTAAAATTTGGGATCAGGATATTATTTTAGGAAAACTTTTGAGTCATATACCCCTTTTTTCAAAGTTAAATGGTCGTTCCCGTATTATGGTTTTTCATCACATAGCATAATATTTTTTAATGTTTAATGTGAAGTTGCTGTCTATGTTTGTAATGAAAGGTTATTTAGTAAGCTATAAATCCGATGTTTTTGGTCCGCCTATGCGTTCATAAGGGAGCTACCATTTGATTTTTTTAGGGGGGGGGGGGGGGGGGGGGCTAAGATGAAAAATTTTGTCCTGCTTATTTTTTAGTTGTAATCTCTGTCCTGCCTTTTAATTTTTCACTCTATCCGGTCCTGCCTTTTATGTTTTTTTAGTTTATCCTGACTTTTTTTATATAATTAATTGTCATCCTGCCCTTTTTTCTGCAAAGTGTCTCTTCCTGCCTTTTTTTTTTACTCAAAACTCCTGTCCTGTCAATTTTTCCAAATTTCATCCGAGCCCGAACGCAGAATACAAAAATAGTGGAACTTTGTCATTACGATTTGGGGCGATTAAGCAATAAGGGCGAGGTGTCATTCCTTCATAAGATGTCGTTTCCTTTTTTTTCCCGGAATATTTGTTTATGCAATGATCTCCCTTTGATGAATGTTAGTAAAGGTGGCATCTTGTCGTGCATGTACTTTGATAGCTAAAGTATTAATGTTTGGATGATTGAAAATCTATTATTTAAGTCAGGGAATTTCTGTACTTACACAGAATAGACTGTCGCTGGTTAAGTTGCATTTGCGGAATGAGGACAAAACTGGCCCGAGAACACAGTTATAATTTCGTAGTGCATTTCTTTTAGACAATAAATTTAAATTTAAAAAATCGCACCTGCTCTATCTCAAAAAGATTTTTACAGTGTAGTGTACTACTATTGATACAAATAATATCAAAATTATAGAAATTTCTACCAGCTCTAACTCAAAATATTGACAATTCTGTGTTAAGGGGGGCTAAACTTCAGTTTGACAGCTTCAGACATTCTAATTTTTGAACTTTTTTAACTGGACCAAATCACTACTTAACATAAAGATTCAGCACCCAAATTTTTTTAACATAAAATTTAATCCCCTTACTTAATATTTCACGCATAAAATATCAAGAAATAAATTGGGAAAGTGTATCCAAAAAAAAAAATGCAAGTTATACACTGTTTACACTAGGGACTATATTCGTAGTGTCCTTGGATCAAAACTGTGTCAAAAGAGGGGCGAAAGCACAGGCACTTGTCTCAGAAAAAAAATACCTTACTTATACTATAACACAAGGTACTTTAACTCGCATTTGTGGAAAATGTCACCCTGTCGCGAAATTCCGTTATATATATATATGCCGATTTCTAAGTTGCCAATACCACTAAAACTTGTTATGCCGTAAATCTAAATTGATTTTTCTACAAAATGGTGTTAACACGTCTACTTTTGTTGTCGGAATCATCCATAGCAGGCCTACCCAAATAGGTCAATCGTAATTATTTTGTATACCCACTCCAGATTGGAAACATAAAACTCGCAGTTAATGATTGATTATAAAAATTATTTTAAAAAAAACTGTTAGTTTTCGTCTGAATAAAACTTACAATGTATCACCCAGTTAGTAAAATTGTATAGATTCCATGAAAAAAAAATCTTAACAAGTGTTATTTGTGGTATGTCAAATAAGTTACGAGTTTCTTTTTTTAGACTCAAATTTTATAATTACATGATTGTCATTCAGACTCTCTCTGGACTTTATGTTTGAAATGAGATAAGATCAGATAACTCCAAGAAACATTTAGACCTTCCCATAAAATTTGACCAATTGGAAACCGAGATATATAAAGAGAGTGGGAAGATACCTTTTACTGCTAGTCGTATGTTTCCAATCGAGTGCAGGTAGATGAAATAATTACGATTGACATACTTGGGTAGGCCTGCTACGGATGATTCCGACAACAAAAGTAGGCGTGTTATACACCATTGTGTAGAAAAATCAGTTTTATCAACTATATCTACTATCCAATGCATGCAAAAACAAACAAAAAACCCATGTATTGTCTGTAAAGAATACACAATGAACATAATGAAGTGGAATACCGAATAGATTAATTAAATAAAGTCATGCAGATTCATTGATTTTCATGGGTACCAATTTTGTGGATTTTTGTCGATATTTTAGTCTGTGGTTTTGCCAGGATCTGCATACAAATTAAACCTACAGAAAATTTGTCATTTTTTCAACATGTAATTTTATGGTTCATGTGTACCCAAAAATTCATGGAAATTGGTATCCAATAAATAATAACTTTAGACATGTAAGAGTAAGATAGACTTTAAGTAATATATATATACTATAACTTATTATTCCTTGTCGTTAATTTTCTCCTGTTGTGCATTATTTAATTTACATTATTTGTCATGTTGCATGTGTCGAGTATGTTATACACTTGGACAACATGTTGGATTACACAACTTATATAAATGTACTTAAATTATCCAATAAAACATTTGGATTTGAGTTTGAATAACCATCCACAGTACATGAAGTATGTAACATGTATTATGTATTATATATCTGTATTTTTTTTTCTTTTGTAGTGAAATGATATGAACTGGAAACTTAAACACAGGTAACCTAAACATGGTAAGTCTGAATTAAGTTGAGGTGGCCATCTTGTGTCAACAGTTTATATTACAGTAAAGTAGCTTTGCCTACATCACTTTACTGCTGAACAGTGAGCTGTTATAGTTATATTGTGAATTAGAATAAACAGAGGTTAAAAGTATCTGAGAACATGCAGAAAATGTCAGAAACTGAGATGTATACCGTATATGTAAATTTTAGAAAGTACAAAATGTATAATGATCATGATGATAATTAAGCATATTAAATTGTTGTGAAATTTTAAACATGTTTTGTGCATTGACAAGACCTCAGACATGCTCTATTTTTAACTAGAATTTAAAGGATTTAACCCCTAACAATATGCTGGGATTTTTTGATTTTTTAGGAATAAGCATGGTAAGTCCTACAAAGCCCCAGCCTTTGTGACCTGAATAAAAAGACTCCTTTTTATATTGGTATCACGTCGTCGTAGTCGTTGTCGTCCGAAGACAGTTGGTTTCCGGACAATAACTTTAGTATAAGTAAATAGAAATCCATGAAACTTATACACACGGTTTATAACCACAAAATTAAGGTTGGGATTAATTTTGGGGGTTATGGTCCCAATAGTTTAGGAATTAGGGGCCAAAAAAGGGGCCCAAATAAGCATTTTAGGAGTTCCAGACAATAACTTGTGTTTAAGTGTATGAATCTCTCTGAAATTATACCACAAGTTTCCATACCACAAAGGGATGGTTAGGATTGCTTTTAGGGGGTTATGGCTCAAACCATTTAGGAATTGGGGGCAAAGAAGGGGGAAAAAACAAGGGTTTCCTGGTTAATGGACAATAAAGACAATTTTAAAGCAGTGTAAGGGAGGTAATCCAATCACATTTAAAGTACAATATATTTAAATGGGTAATTATGGTTGCAAACTCCATAAGAAAATTGAATTGAGATTATGACCATATCTTGAGGGAAAGAATTTTTTTTGGAAAAAGGGAAAGGGGGGAGGTGAAAAAAAAAAGGGGAGGGGGGCGTAAATAAGAAATTGTGGGAGGGGACAATTTTTTCTCATTTCAGATTTCAAAAATAAAAATTAAAAAGAAAATTTCTTCAAATATTTTTTTTTTTTTGCAAAAAAAAAGGGTGCAGGGTTGGGGGGGGATTCGCAGCATAGTGTATTGCACAAAAGCAAAAAATTGATTATAAATTCAAATCATATAGCCAATTCTAAGTTCTTTGACTACAGTTATTCTTTGTCAGAAACCTATTTATGTGTCAAATATTTAATTACAATCCAAATTCAGATCTGTATCAAGTGCTAATATTGTGTCCATTTTTGCCCCAACTGTTCAGGGTTGGACCTCTGCGGTCGTATCCAGCTGCGCTCAGCGAAGCAGTTTATTTAATAAGTCACAACAATTTTAGGGAATAATAATTACAATTAGATAAATTCTGAGTTTTTAATGCAGATTATAACCTAGCATCTGAAGAAAAAAGAATGACAGTAAAGGCTACTGATGGCTAGAAATGAAAAGTTTGATTCTGTCAGATAAAGTAGAGTTTACATATTTTGATGAAAAAATAATACAAAAAACATGAAAACCTACAAAAAAGTATTGCTGCATTCTAAAACTAGTATACATTTTTGTTTAGGGGCCAGCTGAAGCATGCCTCCGGGTGCGGGATTTTCTTCGCTGCATTGAAGACCCATTGGTGGCCTTCGGCTGTTATCTGCTCTTTGGTCGGGTTGTTGTCTCTTTGACACAATCCCCATTTCCATTCTCAATTTTATCTAATGTAATTATTAGTACATGTAGTAACTGTAATAGGCATTTGACTTTACCAAAATTTGTACGAAACAATATAATCAACGTTACAAAGAAGATTTAAAAAAGAGTATGATTGGCTGAGTCCATGAAATATTTCACCAAAGGCAGATTGAGAAAAAATGCTAAACTCGAGGGCAAATTCAAAAAAAGACAAAATTAAACACTATGATATCTATCAACAGGACCAGTAAAACAACAAGTGCCATGTTTTGGCCCAATCCAAGCAGAACAAAAGACTTCAAAGATCAAAACTGTGATTAATATGATGAATCTATTCATCCATATTTTCTTCCTCGTAATAACTTCATATTGAAAACCTGATAAACATAATAAATCAACCAGCCTTATGGTCTCATGGTAGAAGGCTTGGCTACACTGAGGGAAGTTGTCTCAAACTAAAGAAGACTTTAAACTTTTAGATAATATTGTTATTTCTGTGCTAAGCATGCAAAAATTTAGTAGTTAAAGCAAAGACTGGTTGGCTCAGTGTCAAATAATAAGTGTATAGGGATCTCAACCCTCCCCCTATACTAATAGAAGTATGTTTCATTATTATACGTTATTTTGATTGGCTAACAGCAATCTTGCATCATTCTTCATTTTAAATATTGAGTGATATGTCTTAATGAGGATTGTTACAAATTTGGCTCAGCATGTTCAGGTCTAGCACAAAGCAGGGTAAATTAATATCAAATTTGCTTGTTTTCTTCTTGAAATTTTGCTTCATACCATTTAACAACCATTGTGTTTCACTGATGAATAATTTTCAGAGCATGTTTATTTTTTCTGTTTTTAGGACCCAGACATAAAGAATAGATTTGAGGAAGAGATTCTGAAAGTTGCAGAGACAGATGAACATTTTCTGACATATAAAACATTTGCAAGGAATTTTAAAGATAAATGTTTTATCAAAACCAAATTCCATAACCATTTTTTGGAAGTTATTAAAGCAGTCAGAAAAGGTGCTCTTCAAAAAGAAAGAATTGTAGGGATTCAAGGTATCGGCAAATCTTCATCTGTGATGTATCATGTTCTTAGTTGTAGAAAAAATGGAGATGGAGGAATTCATTATGTTGACTTGAGTATAATTGAAAAGAAGGATAAGAATTTAGAAAAGTTCTCTCAATACATTGCCAGTGTAAAAAATAACGATTGTTTGGTCATTGATCATGTGACTTTATTTAACGGGAAGTTAGTCGAAAAAATTGAAGAACTCACATCTTTTGCAAAAATAGTTTTAATAGAATCTAGATTCACTGCATGTGTTTATACAACTAACCTTGACTTCAACAAGGACTTTCAACTAGATCTAAATGACTTTGAAAGGATTTGGAACGGAATGTTGTCAGTAAAAAGTACAGATTTCCCAGGGCGACATGAATTAGTTAGTTCTTTACTCAAATTAGGTGATAAGGTATATTATGAGTTGAAGGATAAATTCATAGTTACACCAAGACTATTACATGATGCATTCGATGAAATGTTCATATTTGGTAAAAAAATTAACGAAATTTCTTACTGTGCTGAAATTAAATTAAGAGAAGAGATTGCAATGTTTAAAGATGAATTGAAAAGCAGTTATTGTGAAACATTTTTACTTGATACTAAACTACTTTTGGACTGCCTAGTTGGGCAGGGTAAAAACATAATTTGTACACTTTCTCAGGTTGCTAATTTTAAGGTAGCTATTAATATATTTGACATTAAAATTCTTGAAGTAACCAGGCAGGATTTGGAGGATAATTGCAGATTTTACGAGCTCGAGCTGGAAGAAGGGGATCGATATGTAACTATCAGCCATTTAGTGCCCTTTCTTGGTCAACATTGGATAGAAAAGCTGCCTTTGAAGTTGGAAGAGGTATTAAATTGTGAAGATGCTAATAGAATTTTGGATTTTAGTCTACAAAATGGTAGTTTGCGGAAAATGTTCAAGGATGGTCTTGTAAATTGTCAAGTGGAAAACGATTGTGTTATTATCCCCGATAAACATAAATTTTTTGATACTTGTAGTCTAGAAGCATCCGATACAAATGAGTATATACAATGTGACGGAGTAATGAAGCCCAGAAAGTTATATTGCTTAAGACCAAAAAATGAAATTGTAAAAGATGCAATAATACAGGAGAAATATAAAGGTCATTTAGCAAATGTGTGCAAAGCTGCCGTTTATGTGAAAAGAGAAATAGAAAAGTGTAATGATCAGTCATTCATTATTTATCCTCATGTTACAAATTTCATGGGCTTTGATTATTTTCTATACACTCAGCCTACTTTGTTTGATTCTGGTAGTAGTGACGAATCAAGTAGCAGTCCACCATCAAAGAAATCTAAAAATAGAGGGATGCTATTTTTGGTACGGGTTGCAACAGGATCCTTGCACACTGGAATTACAATGAGCAGAGCATTATCAGTCTTTAAAGACATCATAGATGAAGTCACGCTTCATGTAGTGGTTATTAATGCGACAAAAGAAAGTGATACATATAATCTTACAGGGAATTACATTTTTAAAAACATTTCCATTGTCAACATAGGTGCTCCACATATTTTGAATTCATTGAAGTTTTATGACGAAAAATTTCATAGTCTGTTAGAAGCAGTTGTAAAAACCTCTGTTGTTTCAAGCTGTAAAAACAAATAGTCTGTGGGTTGAAATGACATCACCCAACCACAACCATCAGTCAGGGGTACTACTTGTACAAGTAATCTTTATTTACTTGAAGAAGTAAATAAAATAAACTTATATAAGTTAATTATAATGTTTGAATAATCTCCCCTTAATTTTCTCAAAAATTTACTTGTATAAGTAAATTTTTTTTACAATCCCACAAAAATTCTCAAGTTTTGAGATGTAAAAACATGTCTTTAACAATTTTTCTCAGGTTAGCTCATAATTTTTGGTTAGAGTTCAATGTTTCATCTCATTAATTCAACAAAGAAACTGATTGCGCAAAGATCTTAAGTATTTGCGCAAGGCCTTCAAAAATTGCCCCTTGGGGGCTTGTAAATGAGCAGTGTTCTGAAGATAACAGACAAATGAGATTTTCATTGTCCATGAAATTACACTTAAATGATTAGTAAAGACATCTGCAAAGGACAGACAATCAAAAATTCTATTAGAGCAAAGAAGTCCTAAGAATTCAAGAAAAGAAGATAGGATGACTTTTTTACTTGTATAAGTAAAAAAATCTGAATGTCTAAGGGACATAACTAAGCCCAATTTTTTTTTACCTATTCAAGTAAATAAAATACACTTGTATAAGTATCCTTCAAATTTACTTATACAAGTATATTAATATTTACTTCTTGAAGTAAATAAAAATTACTTGTACAAGTAGTACCCCTGACTGACCATGAAGACTTATATTTATAGCATTTTGTCGTGAAACATTAACATAGAATATTTAGTGATGAGCTTTTCAGAAAATTTGGTCTGCTTTATTATTGCATTTGTTGTACAATGGACTAAAAACATGTGCGATACAAACACGACGAAAAGTTCAGATGTTTTATTTTCCAAAATTATCCAATTCCAATCTTCATGATCTTGCATTCTATTTACATGATAAAAAAGGTTGCTAAACTTTCTGATTTACATGATAAAAAAGGTTGCTAAACTTTCTGATTTACAGTTACCTTTGGAGGATAACAGTTTTTTTCTCCAAAGATATTTTTTGGGGCTTGCTCTCTCATAACTGTTTACTCTCTATTTCCATTTGTTCATCCTCCTGTCAGTCAAACTTAACAATAATAGACTTGAAAAATTGGTATTCTTCTCAGCTTAGTACCCATCAGTAACCTGTAGGAGTATCAGTAATATGAAAAAAGGTTGATCAACAGTATTCTTAATATCACATTGACACTTTAGGGGAAGTCCCGTCTGTCCATGTTTTAATTATACAAATTGGTAATTTATTTCTTGTTTCCCTGTCCTTGCGAATTGTGTAAAGTGAGTTAAAGCCTCTTAGTACACATATGCATGTAGTAGGAAATAAGGTGATGTTTTGGAGTTTAATGGCTTCGCCCTATCATTTCTGACAAAAAGAGCCTAAAATTGTGCTTTTACAATTTATTTTGATAATTAATTGTTTCTGTCTATCATGTCTATGCCTATTTGGGTCGAGATTATAGAGAACAAAAGTTACGAAAAAATTAGCACAGAATTTTCTGTACCATGTACCAAATTATTTTTACTACAATTAAAATATAAACCATTGTGCCCTTGTGAGAGAAGATTTTGTTGTATATGAATTGCAATCATAGTATGTTTTGGATGTATGTGTTGACATTTTTTTTTGTTGAATCCTGTTATGCAAGCTGTTAAAAGAATGTTTTACTTCTTAGTTATAAATTGACTGCATGTACCGGTATGTTGCTGCTTTAAATATAAAAACATTTATTAATTTTATTACATCTTGTTTTTCAATTTTTAGTTTTATTTTTTTTTTTTCCACATATTTTTGTGGCTATAATGTTGTCTAAATAAAAATAAGAAGATGTGATATTATAGCCAATGATAAAAACTCTCCACCAGAGACCAAAGGACATAGAAGTTAACAAATGTAAATCACTGTACCATTTGTGTACGGGCTTCTTCAATGAGCAAAACTTATACCTCATAGCAAACTATAAAAGGCCCAGAAAAGGCAAACATAAACATGATAAAACAATTCAAACTAGAAACTAAAACTTCTAAAAGCCTGATTTATGTCAACGTACAAAACAATAAATGAAAAACAAGAAATATTAATGAGTAAAATTGAGAATGGAAATGGGCAATGTGTCAAAGAGACAACAACCAAAGCAGAAAACAGCCAAAGGCCACCAATGGGTCTTCAACACCGTGAGAAAATCCTGCACCCAGAGGCGGGCTTCATCTGGCCCCTAAACAAATATGAGACCTTTTTTCTTTTCCCCTTAGTGTCTTCTCACTTTTTACACAACCGCAAAAATTTTTTTGCGTTCGTATAATGCTATCATGTCGTCCTTGTCTTCGTCTGAAGACACATTTGGTTTCCGGACAATAACTTTAGTTTAAGTGAATGGATCTCTATGAAATTTTACCAGAAGGTTCAATACCACAAAAGGAAGGTTGGGATTGTTTTTGGGTGTTATGGTACCAACAGTTTAGGAATTAGGAGCCAAAAACAAGCATTTTTGTAGTTTCCGGACAATAACTTGTGTGTGAGTGTATGGATCTCTCTGAAATTGTACCACAAGGTTCCATATCACAAAGGGAAGGCTGGAATTAAGTTTTGGGGTAATTGCCCCAAACGTTCAGGAATTTGGGGCAAAAAAGGGGTCAAAAACAAGCATTGTTCTAGTTTCCAGACAATAACTTGTGTTTAAGTGTATGGATCTCTCTGAAATTGTACTACAAGGTTCCATACCAGAAAGGGAAGGCTGGGATTGAGTTTGGGGGTAATTACTCCAAGGGGGGGGGGGGAGGGATTTTTGTTTTCAATTTTTTTTGGGGGGTTCATACTTCAATTTGTACTTTTCTTCTTCAAGATTTTTCAAAATAACAAATTTTTTCAAAAAAAAATTTTATGGAGGATTTTTTTTTTCGTAATTTTTTGGTTAGTATTGTGCAATAGCAAGAAATCTTCAATAGCACAGTATTGCGCAATAGAACAGTATTGTGCAATAACACAGTATTGAATATTGCGCAATAACATAGTATTGCACAATAGCACAGTATTGCGCAATAGCAAGAAATCTTCAGTTGAAAATAAATACAAATCTTTTAACCAATTTCAATGGGATTAATTTAAAGTCTTTAATTTTTGGGGGTTCTAACCTTGTATTACTATTTTGGATATTGGGCCCCATTTTCAAATTGGTCTACATTGAGGTCCAAAGGGTCCAAAATTAATTGTTTGATTTCATCAAAAACTGAATTATTGCGGCTCTATGATATGCTGAATCTTATTGTGCATTTAGATTTTTTATTTTGGGCCCTGTTTTCAAATTAGTCCATATTAAGGTTTGAAGGGTCCAAAATTAAACTTTGTTTGATTTCTGCTGAAATTAAATTTTTGGTGTTTTTTTTATATGTTGAATCTAACAATGTTGTTAGATTTTGGATATCAGACCATACTAGGTAAATTAAATGTCGCATTTCAAATTTTTAAGATCTTTGGCCACATTTATTTTGTGCCAGAAACCTATATTATGTCAAAAATTTTATCACAATCCAAATTCAGACAGTATCAAGCTTGAATATTGTGTTCAAACTTGCCCCAACTGTTCAGGTTTCGACCTCTGTGGTCGTATCAGGCTGCATTCGGCTAAGCATTTTATTTAACATATAACTTGAATAATTTATCATTGTCCGGGTTATCTTTTAATCTTATTCCCTTGTTCCTACATTTCTTTATATAAAGTATTAAACATGTTAAAAGATGATGTATGATTGACAATTAGACATATATTCCCAACTGACTAAAGGACAGGTAAATGTACAATTGTCAGCAAGGAGCAAAACCCATACAGTCTAGATTGTTATAAAAGGCACCTGATCAATTTATATATCATATATATAAAAATAAGAAGATGTGGTACATGTGATTTGATTGCCAGTGAAAAAATTCTCCACCAGAGACCAAATGAAATAGAAGCAACTAGAGGTCACAGGTTATATGCCCGTTTTATCTTGAAATAGTTTTGAAATTTTATTAATCTGTATACTAATTATTACAGTCCTATTATAAATACCCTGTAGTTAAAGGATCACTTTCGGTAAAAACATCTGAATGTATAAGATGTGGTAAAAGGATGAAAATAACATTGTTAAAGTAACTTGTTTATTCAGATCAGATAAATTTATGAGAAGTATAATTATACATCTCAAAAGTAAGGATTGTCAGTTTTCCTACTGAAGGTCGGTGGTTCTCTCTGGGCCCTCAGGTTACTGCCACCAATAAAAACTGATTACCACAAAATAGCACAATAGTGCTGAAAGTGACAAAAAACACCAACTTATCAATCAAAAGTAAGGGTGTTAAATGAATTAAGTGACAAAAGTGACACTTGCGTGGATCCATGACTGTATATTGATTGTATTCTTCAATATTTCATCCATATTCCCTCCAGCCTTTTCAAGGAGTTGCAGTTCAAAAGTGTTATGTGGAGTGGACTGTGTGTTATTGACAAAAGATGACAGAAGTGTGATGCCTTTAGTAGTCAAAGCTTGACATTGTCAACAACACAATTATAAAGGGAGACAAGAAATCAAAACATTGATCTCTGCCAAAAAGAGATATAAAAATGGATCAAAGGCTCAAATGGCTGGGTTGTGCAGATAGACTTTAAACATATATAGTAATGGTCTATACTGAACATTTCAATATATAGAAATATAAAATATAAAATATAGGACAAACAATGATAAATCCATAATTTAAAGTGCACAATGTAGATATGTTTGCTAGCTCTCTGTAAGTTCTAACGGTCTGGGGGTAAAACCAAAAATGTGAAAATTAAATCATCTTTTGAATTTTTTCTGAAAATTCACTCAGCTCCAAAGTCGATAAAAATATGATCAAATTAAAGAACCTTTGTGAGCACGCTCACATACCCCACGCCCCCACATTGTCACTGGACAAACAAAATCTCACAAGATTCCTAAGTTCAAAGACTCATAACTCTACAAAAGTCAACTGATAAAAATTTTCTTGTGGAAATGCACATTAACATATTATGTCCTCATTAACTACAAAGTTTCATGAAATTCTGTTGTGTAGTTTCAGAGGAGTTGTGATTACAAACTGTTGAAGGAGTATATTTAGGCCAAAATTCTAAGTTCAAAGGGGCATAACTCCTAGAAAAAAAATTGAATTATAATTTCCTGTCGATATGCACATCTACATAGTATGTCCTCATTATCTACAAAGTTTCATGAAATTCTGTTGTGCAGTTTCAGAGGAGTTGTGATGACAAACTGTTGCAGTAGTATATTGAGGCCAATAAGTTCAAAGGGCATAACTCCTAGAAAAAAAATTGAATCATAATTTCCTTAAGATATGCACATCTACATAGTATGTCCTTATTATCTACAAAGTTTCATGAAACTGTTGTGTGGTTTCAATGGAGTTGAGATGACAAACTGTTGCAGTAGTATATTGAGGCTAAAAAGTTCAAAGGGGCTAGAAAAAAAATTGAATCATAATTTCCTGTCAATATGCACATCAACATAGTATGTCCTTATTATCTACAAAGTTTCATGAAATTCTGTTCTGTGGTTTCAGAGGAGTTGCGATGACAAACTTTGCAGTAATATATTGAGGGCAATAAGTGCAAAGGGGCATAACTCCTAGAAAAAAAATTGAATCATAATTTCCTGTAGATATGCACATCTACATAGTATGTCCTTATTATCTACAAAGTTTCATGAAATTCTGTTGTGTGGTTTCAGAGAAGTTGTGATGACAAACTGTGCAGTAGTATATTGAGCCAATAAGTGCAAAGGGGCATAACTCCTGGAAAAAAAATTGAATCATAATTTCCTGTCGATATGCGCATCTACATAGTATGTCCTTATTATCTACAAAGTTTCATGAATTTCTGTTGTGTGGTTTCAGAGGAGTTGCGATGACTGGATGGACGGACAGACAGACAGATGGACGGATGGTTGGACAGACGGACGGACAGACGGACGGACAGGTCAAAAACATTATACCTGACGAAAAAAATTGCATGGGGTATAATTATCTAAACAATTCCATAATAGCAGGTGCAAAGCTGAAATATATGTGCAATCATTCTGTGAAGTTTCATTGCACAAAATTGGTATGGTCTTTAGTAAATTTTAATGGGAAATGAAGTTTGGAAAATTGGAAATATTGATGGTCTCGCTGTGTCTTTGAAACATAGTTCAGCAATTTATGCTTTGAATTTTGACAAGTGCATGTAGAGACGATCTCAAAGATTAATACACCATATTTTTTTTCTTTTACATTACTGGAGTTAAATAACCAGTACTCCAGCAGTTCATATAAATTCATTGAAGAGAATAAAGGAATGACACATGCAATCCCTTGAGAAAAAAATACCAATACTATATCATATTTTTTTTTTTATCTTTTTTACTTTTTAAGTATTATTATTACATTTTTGTATCATTTTTATATATAGTTTTTTTTTATATAAAATCAAAATACATGTACAAATGCAATACTTGACAAAAATATAATAAAAAATATATAAATATCACAATTTTCACATGAAGAATAAATACACTTTTAACCAATCAATACCAAAGACCTTCTTGTAGTTGGTGTTGAAGTTTTAGTGTCTCACAATATTTGATTCATAGCAGATGAGATAAAAACGTGAATAACCTGTCTATATTTACCAATGTTTTGTCAATTATTCTTCATAAGTCTTGAAAACATCAGGTTCAAAATTTACTTGGCAATGACATGAAATTAATTTTTAACTTGCCACAAAAAACTCAAATCAATTGAATAAAGAAGTGATCAATTTCTCAGCGCAATATAGTTTATTTATTGAGCATTTTAGCAAATTTGAACTTATGATGGCAAGTGTAGCAATTTATTTATTCAAACTTAAAAATTCTTTACCCTTTCCTTTCTTTTCTACCTTATTTAGAGATGTTGTGCATATTTCAATAATACAAACATTTAACAACATCCACCTTTTCTTTTACATGCAAAACATGCAAATTACAATATATCCAGAAACACATCTCTGAATATTTCTTTGGTAAATGGAGAAGATAAAGAAAGGCAGACTATATGAAAGACTGTTTATTGTGAGCATGTTTCAACCAGTGAGACATGTCTTTAATAACTATGTATTAAGAATTCATTGCATGTATTTTTTAATGCAAGATCTTGGAACTTTTCAAATACCATAGAACAGTTGACTAAAAATAAGTTTTAATTACCATAAATTCAGAAATTTATAGACATTTTTATTATACAGAAAATTGCTACATGATATGTTCGCTACAAAAAAAATCTTTATGATTTTAATATTTAATTGTAGCATTTCCTGAAATCACAATCCTGGTAATCAAACTTGCATTTTTGTCCATTTTTGAAGGATCTATACAATAAATGTACACAAAAATGTCTAAGTTTACATTTGTATAGGAGTCATCCTTCTGCAATGATAAACACACTACATAAAATTCTGTTCGAAAGTGATCTGTTCTTTTGTTTCTAAGATTAGTTATAACATCCCAAACATGCACATTACAATTCAAAGTACACACTGTAATATAGGGTTCAAATGTATGGCTACACAGTTCCAATCTCACAACTTTTGAATTCCACTACCAAAGTTTCCAGCAGAACGTCTTCTATAATCCTTGTAACTCTTTTCCTTTCGAATAAAGCAAATGAGGGCAAGGGAGACAATAACAAGTAATAACTGAAAATAAGAAAAAAACATATATAGATATAAGAAGATGTGGTATGAGTGCCAATGAGACAACTCTCCATCCAAGTCAAAATTTACAAAAGTAAACCATTATAGGTCAAAGTACGGTCTTCAACACGGAGCCTTGGGTCACACCGAACAGCAAGCTATAAAGGGCCCCAAAAATTATTAGTGTAAAACCATTCAAACGGGAAAACCAACGGTCTAATCTATATAAATAAACTGTTATCACAGAGATATGTCTCGCCTTTTTGTAATTTTGATAATGCAAATGTTGAAATTAAAATAGCAATATTTTAACATGTAAGTTATGCAAATATTCAAAGTCGATGAACCATGACTGAAGGTACATGGCTAAACAATCTCCATGGAATGAGATGTGCCAATGCTAATACAACTGCATACCAAATACCATTGACTTATAAGTCGTTCCCTTTAAACAAACCTAAACACAAACATTAACTTGTAAACTATGTAAAAGTTTCAGAGTCAATGAACCATGATCAGGGGTGGGGCTATATAATCTCCATGGAAACGATACTTGCAAATGCCAATACATTTGCATACCAAATATCACTGACTTAACATTAGCAGTTCATCTTAAACTGATCTAATCACAAACTAATACATGTAAACTAAGCAAAAGTTTCAAAGTCACTAGACCATGACTGAGGGGGCGGGGTCAAATATTCTCTACGGAAATGAGATGTGCTAATGCTTATACAACTGAACACCAATTAACAATGGCCTACCACTAATGGTTCCCCTTGAACTGACCTAATTACAAACTAATACATGTTAACTTAGCAAAATTTTCAAAGTCTATAGACCATGACTAAGGGGGCAAAGCCAAATAATCTCCATGGAAATGAGATATGCCAATGCTAAACTAACTGCATACCAAATATCATTGACCTACCACTAGTGGTTCACCATGAACTAGACCTAATTACAAACTAATACATTGTTGACACCCCGCCGCCAGAAACAGCATACCTATGTCTCGTTTTTTGACTCCGTCAAGTCAAGACAAAAACAAGAAACGAGAAACACTTACGAACCACATCAACAAACGACAACTACTGAACATCAGATTCCTGACTTAGGACAGGTGCAAACAATTGCAGCAGGTTTAAACGTTTTAATGGTACCAAACCTTCACCCTTATCTGAAACAATAGTGTAACATCACAACATAGAAAGACACACTATAAAATATCAACTGAAATGGCTTAACTCAATCAAAGGACATATTAACACCAGTGAACATACACTGAACAAATAAACTTGATCTATGATACAATGTAAATACAAAATGAATAAACTAAGGGAAGAATAATAAAAGTAACATGTTATACCGCTGTGAAATGTTAAACAATATAAGAAAAACAATATGCTCGAACAAAAATATCAGCCATTTGCAATTACTTTAAACACAGGTAAATGAAAATAATTTTGTTGTTAAGTATTCGTGTGCAGTTCAAAAAGAGAAAGGAAATATTTTTACAAAATAAATAATTTTGATGTTCATAGTACGAAGTGAAAATTTATGTTTGATAAAAGCACATAAAAGTAATGGGAGACAATTATCAGCAATAACTGAAAAAAAAGATGTTTAAGATAAAACAAAACATGTTAAGGGCGACAATTATCAATAATAACCAATATAAAGAAAAAAACAGTTTTCCATAAAGCAAGGGAGATAATTTCACAATTTTGTTTTTATTAGATAAACATCAATCACATAATGGGAGACAATTAAAATAAAAAAAGTAAGGAAAAGTGTCAGATCACCAGTTATAACTAAGAATAAGAAAACAATGTTTCCAAAAAAAGTTTTCATATTTATTTCATTGCTTACATGTCCTGTATTCATTAAATTATATAAAGTTGAAAAATCTTTTTTTTTTAAATTGTTCATTTGACTTGGTTACCCTTACAGGAAAAAATACTTGTACCCTTATTATAATAAAGTATAAGGTTTAATAAAGAAACAGGAGACATTAATTGAAAAAAAGAGATCTAGGTCTTCAATACCTCCTAATGCATGTATGTATCAATATTGTTCCAATAAATTCTAAAAAGATTTGGCCATGACCATTATTGGTAGTTCAGTAGACAAAAGACAATACTTGCTTGTTTAAAGATTGCATCAATCCTTTGGCAAACAAAACCTTGAAATAATAATCCTTAATTAATCTTACTGGTTATTTTGATCATTTGTCCATTATTCAAGACCAACGATTTTGCAGTTTTCACATGCACATAAATTTAAAATAAAATTGCAGGAGCGATAATCTTTACTAATTTACAGTATTATTTCATTCAGCAAGTTCATTACCTGCAGTACACCTATAGCAACCCCTGCAGCTCCAATCAGGTAGAAATTGTCTATAATCCATTCTTTGGCATCTTCATAACAACTCTGAAAAATAAATCATTAAAATTACATTACAGCTTGGGTGAATTCTATTGTCATTCCCACATTTCCATTGTAGGGGTTGCCACTGAGAGGACAAACTTCTAGAAATTCCCTTGTGTCTATTGGTCATCTTCGACCTGACATTTTTTTTTGTATCATCAGAAGAAATGAACCTACTTTTCAAAGAAAAAAAATATTTAAGCCTCTAAATTTTCAGTATTTATAAAATATCTAGGATACATTTGTGCTGGTAGAGGTAAGCAGACCATGGTGGCCAGGTTTTAAAGGGTCTACTAAAGTAATTTTTGGTTTCCCGAAAAAAACATACAACCGTAATTCCCCGACTTTTATGTTTTTGTTCAAATTAGGATGATTGATTGATTTGTTGGTTGCTTAACCTCAAGTGACAAATCAGGTTTATTGAATAACCTACTGAAGGTGGTACCAAACACCTTGACTAAAATTAATTTGGCTCCTTTAATTTTCATAAAATTTTGACAAAATATTAACTTTGACCCTTTGAGAAAAATATAAAAATTTCAAAAAACTAGAACCACACACTTTATTGGATTAAAATTAATTGGATATATAGCACTTTGACAAACACTTATAGAATAAATTATCGAAGAATTCAAATAGAGAAAAATATTCAACGAGTGACCGAACAACACATTAATTCACGAATGCGCGTAGCGCATGAGTTAATTATCAGTGTTGTTCGGTCACGAGTTGAATATTTTTCAATATTTGAATTCTTTGATTAGTTATTCTTTTTATTACATTGGCAAAGGGCTTTTTAATGAAATTAAAGTAGAAAATGTAAGGAACTATATCTTTTTCTACGCATTCACAATTTGTTTTGATCTGACGTTATCGACGTCTTGACAACGCCTATTGTTGTATGATGTCAGAGGAGTGAAATAACCACGTTTATTTCACATGTGAAATTATCGGTTTTTATTTCACTGGGAAATCAATGTAATTCATTGCAACCAATGTAATAATTATTTTTATCATTGAGTAGCTTAGTAATATTTCCTTGACAATAGAACATGATTAAAACTTTCAGCTGATTTTTACAGAGTTATCTCCCTGTAGTGTGATGTACCACCTTAAATTTGTTTGATTCTTCCTATATTTTAGCTTTTAAAATATATACTACTGTGGATTCATTTATATTCGTGGGTATCAATTTTCCTGGATTGAGGAAAAATTGTATTTCCAGGATATTTGATTTCATGGTTTTGCCAAAATCTGCATACAAGCCTATAGGAAATTTGTACTTAGTCTAACATTGAAATTCCTGGTTCATCTTTACCCATAAAATTGAAGAAAACTGGTATCCCATGAATAATAATAAATTCACAGTAAAGAATAATAGGAGTACTCACAATACGATATGCCACTACACCACCAGATTGTCCACATCCAGCGTAACCACAACACGAGTCTGGTAAAGTTTTATAATTATGGATATCATAAACTCCGTACCAGTCTGTGTAATTGTTTACTCCACAACATAAGTACTAAAAATATATATAGATAGTAAGGTCAAGTCTAGGTACTGGGTATTAGGTATTTTAGTAAGACTGATAACAAAAGATTGCATCTAAATCTGGAAAAAAATGCAGGTGCTTGTGCTCATTTACAATTAAAGAGTACTTGAAATGTTTACTGAACTAAATACAAGTGTTGCATAATTTTAAAACTTTCAATTACCAACATAGGAGAAAAACTTATCCATATCAAGATCTTTAGATGTTTATTCTACAAGTTTGTCTTAGTCCAAAAACCTCCCAATTGATGAAAAAAAATTCCTTTGTTCTTCTCTTTTTATTTCATGCTTGACCTTCCAGCTGTATTAACATAGAAAGTGCTGACAAATATTTGTTGGTTTCAGTTTTATAATAACATAACTTAAAGCTGCTAAATAATAAGTAATAAACATTATTTCCTTTAAGTTCTCTTGCTCATCATAGGTTTACAGAACCGAAATACTGTTGAAAAAAAAATGAATTTGCAGACAAGGAATTATATTTACCCATCTACCTAAATAACTGGTTAAGCACTGATGCAATTGCTGTCATTTGTTGCCTGACATTATTGAATATTACCTTTTCTTGCAATTTGTCCCATGCACTTCTAGTTTCATCTTTCTTCACACCTTCTAATAACTCTCTCCTAATAATTACTTCAATCTACAGAAGACATTGACTTTATTTTACTCCAAATAATGAAATTAATTACTGATATGACAAATACTAAAAAATTGTCAGTGGTTAAATTTCATATTTACAGTATAAAGATTTTCACAAAATAAAATTTATTACTTAGAAACTAATTGCAAAAGCTATTATCTGTTGATGCAAAGTAACTTAATATTTATTTTGTGGCAGAACTACTACTGCTCACTTTCAATATCCTAAAATAAATCAAGTCCATAATAGGTTCACAATAGGTTGTAAAGGACATATATTACAAACTTATTCAATGTAAAAATAGACTGACAAATTTCAATATGATCAAATAAATCTATAACAATATAGAATAAGAAATAAACTGCATGTATTAACCACCATCAGATATTCTTGGTCTAAAAGTTTGGAAGACAAATCAAATATCAAAATATCTTCAACAGAACAACCAAAAAAAAATTTCTCCTCTACTCTATAAAATATATTTTTCTGTTATTTATTATGGAGCAAAGGTAAAGCATCCAATTTTAATCTGGCTGTCAAAACATATTAACCAGAGACCAAATGACGTAGATTTAGACAACTACAGTCAAACCTGCTTGAGACCACCTGTATTAAGCAAAAAGCTGTATTATAAGACCATTAATTTTAGATTCCTCTGTAGTATATTTCATATAGATTGAACCTGTATTGAAAGACCACATGTATTGCTCTCCCTTAAGTGGTCTCTTAAAACAGGTTTCAAACATCCTACAACAATGAGTAAAACCCATATGGTAAACTATAAAGGGCCCTGATGTCACAAAATAGTAAACATGTCAAAGAAGAAAATGTATGTCAAAACAATAAATGAAAAAGAAACTTGATAGAATGCAACAAACATGACTAAGGGCTATTCCATTAAAAAGGATGTACTAGGGTCGGAAGGCAATTTTCAAGTACCCCCATGACCAAGAGGAATGTACCATGTATCTGAACACCAACCAACAGGAAGTCGTTTCATGATAATACAAGAACCAACTGGAACATATCTAACTTATTTTTTACTGGCCCTTCAAAATTGAGAAGAAATTACCTCTTGGAATTATAGATATATGTATACTCTATAAAAATATCTACATGTAATATCAACATTAATTAATGATAAAGAAAATTACTGTCACATTTCATTGGATTTTGACATGAAAATTTGTGAACTAAAAGTTATTTTGAGTTTCTGTATAAAATATTTCATGCTTTTTCTTTCTTTTCCATATATCTTTTGGTTTTCAATTCTAGTGTTTATATTTCATCATCATAGATGTATTTTGTCACCTGCCTGGAATTATTATTTTTTTTTATTGTATTTGATTGGCAAACCCGGAATTACCCTTATCCGACCCCGGAATCTGATCCGGTATTGTCATCGTCTTCTTTTCCGGTTTATGGCATCAATTGTTCTTCAATGTTGTTTTTGTCAGTCAGATACAATTTTACTCGTATTTACACATTACTTGTTGGGGATTTTCAGTATAAAGCTAGCGGTTGAACAAAAATGAGCATCGCTGTCATGAATAATTAAGATAAAAATAAATTTTGAGATCGTTTGGAAGTTTTTGTCCCAAATTGAAAACTGGGAAAAACGTAGGGTATTTGCCATTGCCAATAGGAATGGGTCCGGTATTTGGACCCTGTGGAATACTAGAAAAATCCCTGTAGGGGTATACGATCTCAATAGTAATATGGCTTAAAAATGACCATACTGATGGTTAAAAAGGTTGGCAAAGTTAATTTTTATTTTCTTTCAAATCGAAGGTCCTTTCATTAGAATTTGACACCGTTCGTCATGTGCTTGTCATTAAAGGGAAGTAACTCTTGCACTTCCGGAACTGGTACCATAGGTAGAATACAACGTTGCGCCTGCCGCTGCGTAAGTCGCGGGAACAGTTATGTTTTCCAAAATATCACGATATGAGCAGGAGACAAAAACAATCGGTTATATAAGTCCTTGCTAAAACAAATAATAATAAATAACGAAAAATAACACAATGAAACCGACAGTCACAAAAACTGACTGTCAAAGAAGACCAACAACCAACAATACTTAGTTTCTCTAAACACCAACGACCACTGGCCATAAACGCTTCAACACATCAACAACCAACAGGATTTTTTATAATTGCCGTCCGACCCTGGTACATTCTTTTTAATGGAATAGCCCTAACAATAATCACTGAATTCCACCTTTTTGTTTATTTCGAAAACTTACATCTTTTCTGTATATGAAAGCTATTATTCCTGCTGCTAATTCCATGGCAAAAATAACAATAACGAAAATAAAATACTGAAAAAAGAAAATAAACAAAGTTAAAAATCTGTAAATAATTTAATACTCAGAACAATAGTATCAGTTTTAGTTTAAATTCAATTTAATTCATAATTCCAATTTTCCACAAAATTGAAATTTTTTATTACAGTTATCTCCCTTAGGCCATGTAATTTTTTTTGTAGTAATTTTTGTGTGATACAAGTCTATACTTAGTCATGTTAGTGGGTGACTTTTTTTCCTCATTTAATTTTTACTAGGATCATTTTATTAATGTATGTGAATATGATATATATTTATTAAACTTAGAAAACAAACTAACAGGTAGATTGACAGTAAAAAGATATGAACCAAAATGAAGTTTTGATCATGATCATGTTGATACAAATATATATCAAACTAAAACGAAGAAAGATTCTGAAAAACAGTCTTGATTTCAGAAATGTATCAGGTCTATTTCAAAGTAGTATAGTCATGAAAGCTTGTATCATTCTATTCCTATTGATCTGTGGGTATTTCATTCTCATATATTCAATACATGTTATCCATACTAAAATATTGTCTTTGATTTTTTGGTAGTATATCTAGTTTTGTTGTTTCATAGATTTTTCTTTTATTCAAATACACCCTTCATATGACTATTTTGCTTGTGTGAAATGACATGAAGTAAACAAACAAAATCAGGACCAAGTCCCTGATAGTTTTAAGATATAATATGGTGTCAGGTAAGTTCATTTAGTACAAAAAATGAATATCATGCCAAACTTTTAATGTCAAAAATTTAGGTCGTTTAGGATACTGATATCCAAAGTTCAATTTGTTTCCTTACTTATGACATTTTTTAGTTCTTTAATACAGGCTAAATTGTAACTATTTTATAAGCCAGTTTGTCTGGTCCACCAGTGGTTAAGTGAGTGAAGATTGAAAGCGCCTGAGATCACCCCTTGGGGTTATTGTTGCTCAGACCAGTCTTTGATGATGATGGGAGTTTTTAACAACCTTAGCTGGCTATACAGCCCTCACACGGTTGGCTTTAATTTTCTATGTTGTTTTTTGTATATTATTTTTTGGGTTTTTTTTTGCTATGAAGTTGTCAGTTTATTTTTGACATGAGTTTGAATGTTCCTTATAAGTATCTTTCACCTGTAACCTCTCTTTCAGAAAGTTTTAGAAAGAGTGAATTAATCAACATACCAGCCCCAGCATGCATTGGTTGTTCATCCATGCTCCTATAAAACCAACAAGGGCCACAACTATAACAATTATACCAGCAGATATCAACAATGCTGAGGATGTCTCAAATTCTTTACTCTGTAGGATCTCAACGAAATCTGATCTGGACACTTTCAAATATATCCCAATACACATTGCAGCTATGCCCATTATCTGCATAATTAAGATAAGTCTAGACATATGAAATATTCAATCAAAATCTCATCAACTTTAAATATAAAATATTTAATCAAGATAAAACTATACAATAATAATAAATATCAACATTAAAATAGTTATAATAAAATAATGCATAATTTACTTTGCTTGCCTTCTGACCCTCAAACATATTATTGCTTTGCCAAATTTCTTACATAAAAAAAAACAATTAACATGAACATGATGAACCTCTATTGTTTTAAGTCTTTTCTATTATTCATCATGTTCACTCTAACAACTACAGCTACTTATCTTGAAATTAGACAATGTATAACCTATTGCTATTTGTTGTGTGCACCAGTGTCATAAAAGACATCAGACATGACATGTTGTTACTGTATTGTGTGCTGTAGCTACATGTATTTTGATAATTGATTCTCCCTTTGATATTTTGGAACATATCCTAGATTTTTTGTATAATTTTACCCTTAACATTCCCAATCTGCTTTGATATGATTTAAGAATGGAAAGCAGGGTAAGCCTAATTTTGTGAAATATGAGATATATATCATTGTTTTTTTGGAATTAAGTTCATAGTATGTAGCCTTACACTTTAGTTTAAAATTTTACATTTGGCTATGTTGGATAATATTTTATGTTAGTTTACATGTGGAAATCCTTTTTTTGTAGTTGGTATTATGGTATACATGGTATATATAGCAATTTCGATCCTTCTTTTGCCATTTTCCCGTTTTTAATCATGAATGTCAAAAGCCTCTAGAGAAATTTTTGATCTCCTTTTTAACGCGTTCAATTCAACTCAATTTCCTATCAATTATTCATTAACAAATACTTACAAAAAATAGTATATTGCATACTGCAAAGGTTGTCTTCATACATTTAATTCCGTTCATCCTGAGGCTTGTTGTGGATTCTCAAATTCCACTCAACCTGTGACTGATACTTTACAAACTGCAATCGAAACCCTGAATAAAATTAATGTTGACACGTTAACCACTTCCATTCTCAATTTTATTTACTGTTATATAAACATATGAACACAGATTTTATTGTCTCCCTTCTACAAACAATAGAGAAAGGAAACAATTAATGAGTCAAAGAAACAACAACCCAACCAAAGAGCAGAAAACAGCAAGCCTATTAAAGGCCACCAAGAATATTCTGCACAGGAGTCGGGCTGGGCTTCAGCTAGCACATCAACAATAATATATACCAGTTCAGCAAAATGGAAGTCACACTTAACTCTGAAACATGAACAAGAACTGAGGTCATCTTTAATTTGTACTGTACGCTTTGCTAATTGTAAGCTTTATCATGTTTATTGTCCAAACTTACTGTCATGACTGTAAAAATTGTAATGGATGATAATTTCTTTTATCCTTATAATAATACAAATGATATACATCATGTACATTAGATAGGGTTTTATTAGCTTTTTTAAACTGCAATAATACATAGAGAATATCATATGGCTTTTTTCAATATCAAATCCGTATCAACCTGAGACACCAATATAATCCCAAGAGCTCTGCTCCAGGGATTATAATCATATACTCTTTATTATATACATATACCTCACGTAGACGTTTTTTATGTGACATGACGTCATACTGTACAGATAAGGAGGTTTGAAATGACGTCATACAGATTAGGGGTTTGATAAAGCCTTTGCAACAATGACTGCAATCAATGATGTGACGTCATAGAGATTAAAGGTGTGATAAAGCCTTTGCAACCATGCTAATATCGATATCATCACCGGTGGCTGATACAGCACGCTTGTCAATGATTGTATTACACATACAATTTTTCTGTATTTACTACTTAGTATAATGAGTCTTTTTCAGAATCAACAACAAGTAATCTTCAGTATCCTGAAGTTTTGTTGAATAACTGAAGAAGAAGAAGAACCTGTTAACTTTATGTTTGCTGTTTAAGTGTATAAATATATGCACATATATCATGTATATACATTTGTACAAGCAATTACAAAAAATCAAAACAGTGAAGAAAGACTGACAGTGTCAGTGACAGTGTGTGTTACCTTTTGCTTATAAACAGAACCTCCTTTCTAATAATAGTGCCATGGTGTCTATTTTTAGACTCAAGAAACTTGTCAAACCAGTTTTAAAAAGAATTGAACTTTTCCTAGTTTCAAGTTTTTTCTTGTTTTTCTGGGATAATAAAGTGTTTAAATGTAAAGAAATCTCATTGATGGTTAGATTTATCATTTTGTTATGCCAGTTTGTTCTTAATTGACAAATATTGTGCTAAAATTGTTAATTTGATATTCTTTAACTTCGGTCATAGGTCCAATCTTGTAAAATAAATTGCTAAATTTTGGATATGAAGCCCCGTTCACTTTAAAATTAAATGAAGATTATTTTCAGTGTTTATTTGTGTCAGTTACATGCATACAATATTATGAATAAATCCAATGTTTAAAAAATATTGCTTAATAGTTAGAAAGTATTTCATTATCACATTAAGACAAGTTACAACCCCTATTTATTTAGCATGACATAATTTATACTCCTCCCATTTCGCTCAAACCGGAAGCAGCATTGTTATTGTCGCTGATTTCTTATGCGAAGTGGATTCGTAGCTGGTTAAACTCTTTCTCTCTAAGATCTGTCAATTAACACAAGGTTAATAATTCAATTCAAAATGTGTCTAAAGATTATATTTACGTTATCCTCAATCTGTAAAATTGAGAATGGAAATGGGGAATGTGTCAAAGAGACAACAACCCGACCATAGAACAGACAACAGCAGAAGGTCACCAGCAGGTCTTCAATGCAGCGAGAAATTCCCGCACCTGGAGGCGTCCTTCAGCTGGCCCCTAAACAAATATATACTAGTTCAGTGATAATGAACGCCATACTAAACTCCAAATTGTACACAAGAAACTAAAATTAAAAATAATACAAGACTAACAAAGGCTAGATGCTCCTGACTTGGGACAGGCGCAAAAATGCGGTGGAGTTAAACATGTTTATGAGATCTCAACCCTCCCCCTGTGTTTCCTAAAAGTTACTCATGATCATAGTCAGTCAGGGGTACTACTTGTACAAGTAATCTTTATTTACTTGAAGAAGTAAATAAAATATACTTATACAAGTTAATTATATTGTTTGAATAATCTCCCCTTAATTTTCAAAAAAATTTACTTGTATAAGTAATTTTTTTTTACAATCCCACAAAAATTCTCAAGTTTTGAGATGTAAAATCATGCCTTTCACAATTTCTCTCAGGTTAGCTCATAATTTTTGATAAGAGTTCAATGTTTCATCTCATTAATTCAACAAAGAAACTGACTGAGCAAAGATCTAAAGTATTTGCGCAAGGCCTTCAAAAATTGCTCCTTGGGGGCTTGTAAATGAGCAGTGTTCTAAAGATAACAGACAAATGAGATTTTCATTGTCCATGAAATTACACTTAAATGAATAGTAAAGACATCTGCAAAGGACAGACAATTCAAAATTCTGTTATAGCAAAGAACATGAAGAAGTTCTAAGAATTCAAGAAAAGAAGATAGGATGACTTTTTTACTTGTATAAGTAAAAAAATCTGAATGTCTAAGGGACATAACTAAGCCAAAAAATAATTTACTTATACAAGTAAATAAAATACACTTGTATAAGTATCCTATAAATTTACTTATATAAGTATATTAAAATTACTTCTTCAAGTAAATAAAAATTACTTGTACAAGTAGTACCCCTGACTGATAGTATCGATTCATACTATTTGTGTTTATATCCAAATAATTTTCTGGTGCGTGTACTTACACTACAAACTGCTCAGAGTCTGAAAAGACCATATTTTGTGCTCGACCAGAAAGGTCGAGCACAGATTTTCCTTAACAAGAATCTTAACTGTACTTAAGTCTTAACCATGTTAACTGTACTCGACTCTGCCTCTGGTCTCGACATTACTTAATAAGTCTGATTCAGTACTTGACAATCTTGGTGTAGTCTGAAATGGTCTCAGCCTATCTGGACTCAGTCTTGACCAGTCTTGACTCAGTCTCACCAGTCTCGACCTGTCTTGACCTTAAGTCTTGACCTTGACTGGTCTGAATCAGCCCACCTAACTCCATTATATATCGATCTTACAAAATTCCAGGAAAAAGGTAAAAAAAAAAGCAAGAATTTTCAGTTCTGACTTAATTCAGATAGTCACCTTTAAATTTTGTTATTAATTTTTTAAATCAACTTGGATTTTCATTAAACTATACAGCTATCTCAGTTATATATTGATCTAAAAGAATGCCAGGTTTTTTTGTAGTTTGGTGTATTGCTGTCAAATTTAAGGATATAATTAACATGATTAATAGGAAGGAAAAAAAGCTAGAATTTTCAGTTCGGACAAAATTCAGATAGTCACCTTTAAATTTGTTTATAACTTTTTTAAATCAACTTGGATTTTCATCAAACTTTGCACCTATCTTTATTATATATTGATCTTACAGAATGCCAGGTTCTTTTGTAGTTTGGTGTATTGCTGTCAAATTTAAGGACTTAGTAAATGTGTAAAATAAGCTAAAATTTTCACTTTTGACTAAATTCAGATAGATACCTATAATTTAAATATTTAAATTTGACAGCAATAAACCAAATTACTAAATTACCCGGTATTTCTGAAGATAAATATATAATTGAGATAGCTGTAGATTTTTATGAAAATCCAAGTTGCTTTGAAATAGTTATAAAAAATTTAAAGATGACTATTTGAATTTAGTCCCCACTGAAAATTCTAGCTTTTTTTACCTAGATTAATTATATCCTTAAATTTGACAGCAATACACCAAACTACATAACAACCTGGATTTCAGTAAGATCAATATATAACTGAGATAGCTGTATAGTTTTATGAAAATCCAAGTTAATTTGAAAAAGTAATAAACAAATTTAAAGGTGACTATCTGACATTGTCTGAATTCAGTCCGAACTGAAAATTATAGCTTTTTTTACCTATTAATTAAATCCTTAAAATTGACAGCAATAAACCAAACTACCAAACAACCTGGAATTATGTAAGATCAATATATAACTGAGATAGCTGTATAGTTTTATGAAAATCTAAATTTAAAGGTGACTATCTGAGTTAAAGGGGCACTAGCTGTCAAATTTGTGTTCGCCGATTTGACTCAAATTCTCATATTTGATTTTATAACAATGTAAAACATTTATCCAAACTATTAAAAGTCTAAAATAAACAATTTACAGGGCATGGGCTCGATAATATGTAGCTTCGTTTCTTGTATATTTTAGTCTAGACGCTGTCTAATTAACTATCGAGTTGACCTCCGAAGTCCTCCGATGACCATATAAGTGCTGTAAACAAAAATATAGATATAAATAGATTAAGCGAACTCGTGCATCTGGATTATTCTAGGTCTGTTTAATTTCATATTATAGATTAAAATTATATGTTTATCATCGTTTTTACCTGTATAAGAATGATTTTTTGTGGATTGAATCAATCAATCAAATGATTTACCTTTGTTTCACTTTCAATGTTGACATTCTTTTCTTTTAAATAACTTTGCACGCACAATTCATGCGTTATCCATCTCTAGCTAAGGTGTTGAATTGAAGTTCACATGAATACGGATTCAATGAGGTCGAATTATTCACTTGCAAGTGAATAATTCATCATCAATGTCTGTTAGCTTATTTTGACCAAATTGAACCATACTGGCTGCTAAAAGCAAATAATTATTTCACTATTTCACTTTCATTAATGATTGAACAAAAAAAATCATATTTTAGATTTTTATATATCTGGTAGCTAGTGCCCCTGTAACATGCTTTAAGTCCAACTGAAAATTTTTGCTTTTTTGGAAAGATTGGAACTTGTTCTAAATCTTTCCTAAGGCACCGGCCTCCCTAACAACAAGTAACTAAGGACAGGTTAGCTACTTAGGGGACGACCATTTGATATTCTGGGGGGGGGGGGGGGGGGGGGCCAGGAGGATTTTGAAAATAAATAACTCAGCCTTGATAATCACAAAAATAAATGGTTTGTTCTGTGGTAGTTTGAAAATAAATTACCTGACTTGCAATGTATTGAAAATAAATAACTCAGCAGGTCTAATCGAAAGTATGAGATGGCACCAGATTCTTCATAAATTCATCTTTTTTCCAAAAAAAAAATCGGGAAACACTTTCCATATCTTTTGATGTTGTTCCTAGAAACTTAAGTCTTACACTGAATCTATAACGTGATTTTGCTTTGAGACCAAAATATTGTCATACAATTATTAAAACAGAACTTGCATTTTCAGTTTAAGAAAGGGTCTGGGGAACACCCAGAAGGCATGATTTTGCATCATTTGTTCTATAGCTTCTTGGGCCTTCAGCAGTTCAGAAACCCTTCAAAAAAAAATTTAGCCTCGCTCCGCTCGGCGAAACATGTTTGCCAATACTTTTAAAAGAGCCTTAGTTACAACCAAACTTTAATACTGTGTATGTATGCAATACATGTATATGCATTGGGGAATATAGAAGATTCATTTCTGCAGAGGATAATAATTAATTCTGATTAAATGGTACATAATGACTTGACTATACATGAATTATTTATAATAAACAAATAATTTAAAAATTGTATGTTTTCGAATATTATAAATATAGTTGTGAAAATAAATAATCAGTCCCTTGCTTTAATGAAAATGAAAAATCTGGCTTCAATAGTGCGGAAAATAGATAATCTGTCCTCTTAGTTTACAAAAATAAATAACCGATCCAAAACAAATCCTCCTGGCCCCCCCCCCCCCCCGAATTTCAAATGGTCGTCCCCTTAATGTATACACATTGAAATATAGTTCCCTATACTTCTCATTCTGTGCACATATGCACATATAAACTGAAAAAAATGGATATATTTTTGGAGCAGTTCATCATCAAGTATGTATGTCTTTAAGGTGTGTTGATGTGCAGGCTTTTTTTTTTCATTTTGATTAGGTAATTGAGTAATGATACAATACTAATATGATTGACAACTGTCATGATTATCAAACAACCAGAGACAAGGTGGACCTTTAACTACAATGCCCCACCTCCTTAAATGCCAATCATATTGACCACATAACTAATCAACCTCAGTCTACCATAATTATACAGACCCTTCTTTATACATCTCAATACACAAATATTTGATCTCATAATTGAATACACAAATGTATATATTAGATGTTTGATATTATATATATACGGATGATAGATTTAATCATTGCCTATTACTTTTGATCTACACTACATAACGCGATTGTGAAATTATGTCTGAAAGATAAATGGTTATAATTAAGGATTAACAAGATCTTTGAAAAAAAATATGAAATCTAAATATTAATATATAAAAGGTATTCAAGTAAGGCCTATAATTTACTTGATAAATCTGCAATAATCATCTGTAATTATAAATCAACAATTTAGGTTAGTTTACTTATTTTTTTATCAGTGATCATCAATGATCATGGTGATTGGCTTGAAACAGTTAGTAAAATTTTAAAACTTTTAATTAGAACAAATGTCTGTTAACAATTTTAGTCATTTGAATATATATATATTTGCAATCAAGAAAGAATCCACATTCAATAAAATAAGTTTTTAGTCCCTACCGACGAAGTCGAAGAGGACTTTAGGTTTGCACTCCGTCCGTCTGTCTGTCCATCCGTCCGTCCGTCCGGCAAATCAGTTTTCCACACTTTTTTCTTCATGCTTGAAGATATTGATTTGCTTAGAAAATTCCATAAAATAATCAGTTTTCTGCACTTTTTTTTGTCATTCTTGAAGATATTGATTTGATAATTGGTATGTAGTTTTATCATGACAAGTTACAGTTAAAGTTCAAATTTTTTTCCGGTCTGATGATTTTGTGCAGAGTTATGGTCCTTGGACTTAAAAGTTCACTTAAATAATTAGTTTTCAACACTTTTTTTAGTCATGCTTGAAGCTATTGATTTGACATGTTTGATATTTGTTATATAGTTTACACCATGACAAATTATAGATCAAGCTAGAATTTTGTTCTAATACAATGAATTTTTAACCGGTAGGGGACTCAGTATTGCCATGCAATACTCACAGAATGCTTGTTTAATTTGTTTATGTTGAAAAGCATGAAAAGGTACATTTTCAATACCCTTTGCTGAAAAATATTTAAAATATTAATTGATAAGAATACACTCTTATAACCATGATAATTGTTTTCGAAATCAATAAGCAATTCCCATAGTACAAAAATAGTACACCTATGTTTCAACTTACAAAACAATGGAAAATGCCCCAAAACAACCTTTTTAGATTATATTTTTGACACAATAAAGTTCTTGGCTTCAAGTCTATCTGTTGGTCCTATGTCTTACAAGGATAGTTGGTAAACTTTATTAGAAGAATCTTTGATTTGCAATTTTTGTTTGTTTGAGATATGTTACAGAGAACATTATTTGGTTAGGATATAAATTGCAGTTTAAATGAAATTGTACAAATTAAGAGACCCCCTATCATTCAATTTGATTTACATTTGGCTCATTTTATCTACTGGAAAAGTGCTTTTCCTTCTAAAGACCTGCAGTTTATGCAATTGTCAGCAATAATGCTTTATTAATGTTCTTTTTTGTCCACACCATACCTAAACATGAAATTATTCAAACTACTTTTCCAGTCTTTCCATGAGTGATTCCCATCACTTTGATTTTACCAAATACCTGGAATTTTGTAAGATCAATATATGATTGAGTTAGATGGGCTGATTCAGACCAGTCAAGACTAAATTCAAAGGTCAAGACTTAGTCTAGATAGGTAGAGACTGGTCGAGACAGAGTCGAGACTGGTCGAGCCTGGTCGAGACTTGTCCAGACAGTTTGAGACTGGTTGAGCATTTGTCCAGACCATTTCAGACTACACCAAGATTGTCAAGTACTGAATCAGACTTATTAAGTAAAGTCGAGGCCAGAGTCGAGTACAGTTAAGTACTGCCGAGATTATGTCAATAGATATAAGAAGATGTGGTATGAGTGCCAATGAGACAACTCTCCATCCAAGTCAAAATTTATAAAAGTAAACCATTATAGGTCAAAGTACAGTCTTCAACACGGAGCCTTGGCTCACACCGAACAGCAAGCTATAAAGGGCCCCAAAAATTACTAGTGTAAAACCATTCAAACGGGAAAACCAACGGTCTAATCTACAAATGTATATAAAAAAGAGAAACGAGAAACACTTACAAACCACATCAACAAACAACAAGTCTTGTTAAGTAAAATCTGTGCTTGACCAGTAAACAAAATATGGTCTTTTCAGACTCTGAGCAGTTTGTAGTGTACATTAACAGTGTTAATGTATGTATCATTGTCATTATGTTATGCCCCCACCGTAGCGGAGGGGCATTAAGTTTTACCCTCGTCTGTCTGTAGGTACTTCCCAAAGTTGGTTTCCTTTCTCTAACTTTAGTTTGCCTCAACCAATTGATATGAAACTTATACACAATGCTTATTACCTACCACAAAATACAGATCAAGTTATGAATTTTTGTGGCATCACTTTATTAACCTTTCTAGAGTTATGCCCCTTTACAATTGGACAAATTGCTAAATTTTTCGTTTCCTTTCTCTAACTTTAGTTTGCTTCAACCAAATGGTATGAAACTTGTACACAATGCTTATTACCACAAAATACAGATCAAGTTTGAATTTTGGGGGCGTCACTTTAACCGTTCTAGAGTTATGCCCCTTTACAAAATTTTGGAAAAATGCGAAATTTTTCGTTTCCGTTCTCTTACTTTAGTTTGCCTCAACCAAATGCTATGAAACTTGTACACAATGCTTATTACCTCAAAATACAGATTAAATTTGAATTTTTGGGGTGTCAATTTTATTGTTCTAGAGTTATGCCCCTTTACATATGGAAAAATTGCTGAATATTTTGTTTCCGTTCTCCGACTTTAGTTTGTCTCAACCAAATGCTATGAAACTTATACACAATAAATATATAAGATAGAATAAATATGAAAAATACTGTTAAATAATAATGCATATATTGATAAAAGCAAGAATACATTGAATAAGTAAAAATAAGCTGAGGATACTACAACTGTCAAAGTAGTCTCAGAAATAAGTTCAAATAAGTAACGGGGAAAAAAGGAATAAGGAGAGCCAAAGCCATAAGTGGTCTTGCTAACACTTTAATTTTCATTTTTATAAATTTACTGTTTGCAAAAGTATGAATTATCTTTAAAATACTAAGGATTTTCTTATCCCAGGCATAGATTACCTTAACCGTATTTGGCACAACTTTTTGGAATTTTGGGTCCTCAATGCTCTTCAACTTTGTACTTGTTTTGGCTTTCTAACTTTTTTTATCTAAGCGTCACTGATGAGTCTTATGCAGACGAAACGCGCGTCTGACGTACCAAATTATAAGCCTGGTACCTTTGATAACTAATGCATGTTTTTATATTTATCCCTTTGAAATAATTAGAATAGTTAATTTCTTGAGGCTTATCATGCTTATGTCCCTAGCACAGTCAAAGGATGAGAGGACTACAAATTTAACAGTCTTTTTGAATGCGATGTTTTAAAATTTACTCTTGAAATACATGAAATAATGTCTTTCTCTTCTTTTTATGCCCCCACCGTAGCTGAGGTGGCATTAAGTTTTACCCTTGTCCGTCTGTACGTTTGTCTGTACGTACGTCCCAAAGTTGGTTTCCGTTCTCTAAATGTTATGAAACTTATACACAATGCTTATTACCACACAACACAGATCAAGTTTGAATTTTGGTGGCGTCACTATAACCGTTCTAGAGTTATGCCCCTTTACAAATGGAAAAATTGCTGAATTTTTCATTTCCGTTCTCCAACTTTAGTTTGCCTCAACTAAATGTTATGAAACTTATACACAATGCTTATTACCACATGATACAGATCAAGTTTGTAATTGGGTGGCGTCACTTTTACTGTTCTTGGGTTATGCCCCTTTATAAACTTAAAAATTGTTGAATTTTTCATTTCTGTTCTTTCACTTAAGTTAGCCTGAACCAAATGTTATGAGATTTATACACAATACTTATTACCACAAAACTCAGATCAATTACAAATTTGGGTAGCGTCACTTTTACCATTCTTCAGTTATGTCCCTTTATAACTTCATATGATATGCAAGCAGGGGAATCATCTGTGTCCCATGGACACATTCCCCATTTATTTCTTATGATTTACTGATGATAAGCCTTTGTTTTCTTTAATTTTTATTTGCATGTTTCGAGCTGTATTTATTTATTTGTGTAGACCAAAGTGAAGTTCAAACAAATCCCTGATTTAAATGTATAATAATAATACATGTACTTTGTATAATATTCATTACAGTATATTTAATTCATAGGTTAACCTCTGAAAATGATAATACCTGTCCGTTGTTTTACTTGTGGTAAAGTAATTGGAAACAAGTGGGAAGCTTACTTAGGACTGCTGCAAGTGGAATATACAGAAGGGTGAGTAAGACTTAGAAAATACTTATGTTTCTGCCTATCCTTTTAACTTTGATTTATTTGTGTCATTGACTGCAATAATTTATGATGTAATGAGTTAGAATAAAAAGCAAGATAATTTGCTGGTAAAGCACCTACCAGTACTAAATATTCAGAGCCAATTAACTATGAAACACAAAAAATGTTCTTGGTCTTGCTTATTCCAAAGTTAGATTTATTCTATCCTCATGATCCTAACATGATTTAAAAAAAACAATGAAATAAAAGGTATGACAGATTATGATTAAAAAGAAATACATGAATGAGACAACAACTTGATTATGTAAAAAATCCATTAGAACACTGGAGGTTGCGAAACAGATGTCATTTACAGAAAAGAGTCTGTATAATACCAATTTAACTGCATGCTCAAATATATACAGTACACTCAAGGTGGATCAGTCAAATATCTTTGAAATACTTTTCTTCATACTCAATAGAAAGAACATCACATGGTCAGTGATGGTTGTTAATCTAATCAGAGTGTTATTACCAGCAATCACCCTGATTCAGAGTGATTCACCCAACACCAACAAAAGTAATTATGACTGAATATCCTTTTGTGTACTGTACTCATAAGTTCATTTTTAGATTACAGTTCAACACTTGATTTCTCTTATTGTCCTTCCTTCCTTCCTTCATTTTGTAGTGAACTGTTAATTTTCTTGTCAAATTATGGTATTTGGATATAAGAAGATGTGGTATGAGTGCCAATGAGACAACTCTCCATCCAAGTCAAAATTTATAAAAGTAAACCATTATAGGACACAGATTTCAAGGTTCACTGAAAATTCAAATGAAATACATTTAGGTTAAAGTTTAGGTTCAACATGTTCAAGGTAGTTTGTGGTCAAATCAATATGAAACCTAGTACATATGCCATAATATAGATGTCAAATTAGGGATTAAGGAATTTTACTAAAATTTTATAGTTCACTGACAAGGTTGGTTGGTGTTCACTGCCCAATACTCCTTAAAGTGGTCAATACTTGTAAATACTGGTTGATTGAAATTTTCATGGTTCTTTTTACAGACTTTAACTATTGATACTAGTAAAACATTATTTGATGAAGCAAATTATTTTAATCTTATTTCGTTGGCTTTGGCATGATTCAGTTTATAAACATGTCAGAATGATTTTGGTATGTTTAACTGACTATTATCATGAATCACAGAACACTGAAATGTAATTGTGCCAGTGGTGCACATATTCTTGTATCACATGGTATAATTATAATACACATTTTCGTATAACATGGTATTATTATAATACCCATTTTTGTATCACATGGTATATTTATTATACCCATTTTTGTATCACATGATATAATTGTAATACACATTTTTGTATAACATGCTATAATTATAATACACATTTTTGTATAACAATGTTATACAAAAATGTGTATTATAATTATAGCATGTTATACATTGTACAAAAATGTGTATAATGTTATTAACATGCTATAATTATAATACACATTTTTATATATTTTAGTGATGCATTAGACGCCTTAGGACTGAAGAGATACTGCTGCAGGAGGATGTTATTGGCCCACGTTGATCTGATTGAAAAATTGTTGAACTATGCTCCATTAGAAAAGTGAATAAGATTTTGGACAGGGGACCAGTGCACATTTTTTTCACACCGTATCATTGTTATAAGTAAAATGAGGCCCATTTAATGATTATTTTTTTTCATTTTGTAAACAAGCAGATGGATCAAAAATGTTTCATGAAGGAAAATGGTAAATCCAGTATGTTTAAACACAATTTGTAAAATGTGATACAAATGTACATATAACTGTAATAAAAATTAATATTTTGTTTATTTGGTTGGATTGTTTTTTTCATCATGTGACATACTACATGATCAGTTAGATATGACAATTACTGTTGGTGTTGTGGAACTTTGCATTGAAATGCCAAAAGTAAAATACTGTGAATTCATTTATTTTTCGTGGGTTCAAATGTTCATGGGTTGCGGAAAACTTGCCTTTTCGTGGATATTTGATTTCATGGTTTTGTCTTGAAGGTTGCATACAACCTGATAAAAAATTTGTAATTTGTTGAACATTTAAACTCATGGTTCACCTAGGCCTGAACCCAAGAAATTGATGAAAATTGGTAGCCAATGAATAATAATGAATCCACAGTAAATTGTTACAAAAGTTCCAAATCTGTGATGATACCAAGTAAACTTATCATATGTTGTACAGTGTAGCTACCAGGCTTAAAATTCTGTACGCTGTCTTCTTTGTTTAATTATGATGATACAGTAAGATGAAAACTTTTTGAAATAATTTTAAATCTTAGAAAATTAGGATAGTGTTAAAGCTTTTGCATCAGAAAATAAGTCACAAACAAATCAGTTTTTCAAAAAGGGCCAATTTTGCATCAGAAGATAAGTCACAAACGAATCAGTTTTTCAAAAAGGACTAATTTGGCATCAGAAAATAAGTCATAAAAGAATAAGTTTTTCAAAAATGGCCAATTTAGCATCAGAAAATAAGTCATAAAAGAATCAGTTTTTCAAAAAGGGCCAAGTCCTGTAGAGTATTCAGGATTAAACCAAGGTTTCATGTTCAAAGATATGTAAAAACTTCAGATCCTTTGGTATTTGATATATAGTCCAAGAAGGACTTCATCCTAATTTTGTTTCTCTTCCTAATAGGTCTGGTATCAGAGAGACAAAACTAATCAACTCTGTAAGCATGTTAGATATTTTATAAGATATAGAAAGCTTTTTAGAAACCGGCATGGTTTCTAAAAAGCTTTCTATATCTAGAATATGAATTTTGGATCAGACTTCCAATTTTTAACCTGAAACCAATCTATGCTTATCTACAAAACTCTTAAAGTTCTTCAAAATGAAAGGACATTTGACCATATTAAAGTCTGGACTTAAAGGATCAATGTTACAAATTCCAATGTTTAATTTTTCACAGAAAATTCTTATGGTTTTATAAAAACAGAATTTACAGCTTTGCCTTTCGGAATCGCGATTGCTCAAACAGCTTCAACAGAGCTGATAGTGCAATAGTGGGTATTCGGGAAGCCATCAGATTCATGTATTTATGTTCGTGGACTATGAAAAACCAGTTTCTATAACTATTGCGCTAATCAAATTTGCCCAAGGTGGATCTGGGATTGAAAATAATATAAAGTCTAACCTTTATGTATTTCCTTTCAAAGGATTTAATATCTTAAGGTACAGTTCAATCTGCACAAAGATTTATATTATATATGCAAAAAGTCATTTGAACAATGAATGGACAACTCCAGGGAAACTGCTTCTGGAGTCTTGGATAGACATAGCATTTAAATATGCTTAACTCTTGTAGTTCCTCTACTCTTTGGCAAACTCTCCGGAACAACTGAAGAAGAATATTTTCAAGGGAGCACCTTTGCAAGTTGACCCACACTCTCTGACATTTTTGACAGACTTTGGATTGGGAAAACGCACTTAGGATTAATTAAACTTTCAGAATAGAAGCTAGAAATGCATGAATTGGTTTGAGTAGAAAGCAGTTATGAATACTCTGTCCAAAATATAACACTTGGTTCAGGGTTGAAAGGTTTATGTCGAATGCAACAGTAGGGGTTTATAACAACCAACAAGCCGTGTAGGAAGGACACAATCTCCTAGACTATGTTTTCTACTTTGGGACATGCTGCATGTATTTCTCGCAGCTCATATCACTAACGGCTTTTCCTGGGGTAAAAATCATGTGAGGGTAATTGAATGGAATCTGCATCCTGTAAAATATTTACAATATTCGAATACTGGGAACCCCCAAAAAAGACTTTTTTCCTACAAGAAACAATCTCAAAATTCAGATGTTTATTAGCCCAGTTCAAGACCCTCTCGCTTAGCAAAAGAAAATGAATATCAGTGCCACTAGGAATATATTGCACAATTTTTCATATGATTCATAAAAAGTTAAAAACTACAAAGATAATACCATTAAAAAGCCTTTAAGGGTACAGAAATATGAGGCTCGTAGATTGAAAAAGATGGATAGTAACGCTTATCCAATATGCATATAGTCTAAATGATGACTCTGTTCAAACATTGAGAGTTAATGATACAGGAATATTTTTAATGTGCTCTGTTTAAAGGACCATCAGTTTCTGAAATCACGAAAGCTGCTCTTTGGCTGTTAGAACACACTTTCATTTCATTTTAATTGAAAGGCGTTTTTACAAAACATGCTTTTTTTGGTCAGAAGACAACCATGAACCCTTTAAGATGTTCAAAGAATTTAAGGGTCGTTTCTTTTTATAACATTTTTAATATTTAAGACATGCCAATCATTTTTATACGACCGCAAACATTTTTTTGGGTCGTTTATTGCTATCACGTTGTCAATGTCGTATGTCGTCATCGTCCGAAGACATTTGGTTTCCGGACAATAACTTTAGTTTAAGTGAATGGATCTCTATGAAATTTAAACAAAAGGTTCAATACCACAAAAGGAAGGTTGGGATTGTTTTTGGGGGTGATGGTCCAAACCGTTTAGGAATTGGGGGCAAACAGGGGCCCAAAACAAGCATTTTTCTAGTTTCAGGACAATAACTTGTGTATAAGTATTTTGATTGCTCTGAAATTGTACCACAAGGTTCAATACCACAAGTAGAAGGTTGGGATTCATTTTGGGGGTAAATTGCCCAAACTGTTCAGGAATTAGGGTCCAAAAAGGGTCTAAAACAAGCATTTTTCTAGTTTTCAGACAATAACTTGTGTTTAAGTGTATGGATGTCTCTTAAATTGTACCACATTTTACAAAAAGAAAATTTTTTTCCCTCAAGATTTAAGAAATTGTCAATTTTCCAATGAAAAATTGGGGGTCACAATTTATTTTCCTAATTCTTTGTATATAGTCTGAAAACAGATTTACTAAGTATTGCGCAACAGCCTAGTGTATTGCACAACAGCAAGAAATCTTCAATTAAATATAAATTCAAATCATATAACCAATTTCAAGTTCTTTGACTACATTTATTCTGTGTCAGAAACCTATTATGTGTCAAATATTTAATTACAATTCAAATTCAGACCTGTATCAAGCTTGAATATTGTGTCCATTTTTGCCCCAACTGTTCAGGGTTGGACCTCTGCGGTCGTATCCAGCTGCGCTCGGCGAAGCATTTTATTTAATAGATGCTGGTATAAGTAAAGCAAGTGATAAAAGTTATGCATTTCTTAATATAGGCAGCTATTGGTAAATCAACGGCCTTCAACAATGAGCAAAATGAATACAATATACTACCTTTTAAAGGATTCGGCATGATTAAATGTCAATTGTTTCATAAGAGAAAACCTGTGGTCTGATTGATGACAAACAGCAATCAATGTCAACTACTGAATTACAGATTCCTTTATTTGTGACAGGCACTTAATAAGTCTCTTCTGACTAGTGCGTTGAGCTCTTAATTCTCCGCTTAACCTGGGATAGTAGTGTAATTACAGCAAAATATAAGAACGAATTATACAAATCAGTTGGAAGGGTATGACTCAAAATTCGACAGGAAATACTAGAAAATAACTAACAAAAACACCTTACCAAAATACATAAAAGTACAAATCAAAGTGAACTCGCAGGTATATTAAGTCAGTTCAAAGCCAATTACAAATCAAACACTAAAAATCAATCAGCACACATCGAACGGGATTTAGTTTAAAGACGACATAACTAATATCAGTTATAAAATGGTTTCAACTCAGTCCCTCATGCAAAGTTGATTTGGCTCAAATGATTACTCTTAGACCCCTTTTGTCTGATCATAAATTACCTCCTTACGTATTGAAGTACTGTATGTAATACACACCATAGACTCAATTTCTTGGGTTTCATCGTTTCTAACGAAGGTTATTAAAGTACTTCGAAAGAACCAAAATGATCAAGTTTTTATTTTCATCTATCAGTACTATAAATAGAAGTCCATTACCCTGCGTTTATTACATTGTAAACAAAAATGCATAAATGATACAATATAGATATTGAGGCCCCTCATGGGGGTGTCCAAGTAATCACATAATCACAAATGTTTTTGCCAATTTATAATCACATAATCATTAATTATTTTTTTAAACAAGATAATCAAATAATCAAAAATACAGTCCTAATTTATCAAATAATCAAATAATCATGAAATATTTGGTCTGGTAATAAAATAATCACTATAAAAATGGCCAAGTAATCACATAATCAAAAACCCCATGAGGAGGCTCAATATTCACATCTTCATGTACCGACTTTGAATAAAATGTTTTATCTATATATGTAATAACAGTTAAATTACCGGAAAAAGAAAACTTATCGTCATTGATTATATTTAGATTGTTATCGAAACCGAAAGAGGAAATCACAATTCACTAAATACTATTAGGAACGATTTATTTCATATTAGTTTCCGCATTGCTAGCTATTAAGCGTAACGAATTGCGTCATATTTAGGAAAAAATAATTTTCAAAACTCAGCAGTGACCAGGGTAAGTATACCTCAATATCTTTTGAGAGACAAGTGTTTTCAAAAGTTATGCTCTGTTTCTGATCTATGATTATCAATAAAATTGAGAATGGAAATGGGGAATGTGTCAAAGAGACAACCCGACCATAGAGCAGACAACAGCCGAAGGCCACCAATGGGTCTTCAATGCAGCGAGAAACTCCCGCACCCGGAGGCGTCCTTCAGCTGGCCCCTAAACAAATATGTATACTAGTTCAGTGAAAATGGACGTCATACTAAACTCCAAATTATACACAAAAAAGAAACTAAAATTAAAAATGATACAAGACTAACAAAGGCCAGAGGCTCCTGACTTGGGACAGGCGCAAAAATGCGGCGGGGTTAAACATGTTTTTTGAGATCTCAACCCTCCCCCTATACCTCTAGCCAATGTAGAAAAAAACAAACGCACAACAGTACGCACAGTAAAACTCAGTTTAAGAGAAGTCCGAGTCCGATGTCAGAATAGGAAACAAAAGAAAATAAACAAAATGACAATAATACATAAATAACAACAGACTACAGTAACAATGTTTATCAGTTTCGTCACTATGATTAACATGCATAATATAATAATTTATCTATATATTCATCTTTATTCACCGATGAAGTCAACAGAGAGAGAGAGGAGAGAACGGGGGCATATAATTAACAAAAGAACAAGAAATCAAACCCTGCATTGATATCATAGGATTCAATATATACATTGAAGCACTCTTTTAAAAGAAAATCAAGACAAAGTTTTTTGGAAATACATATAGGACTCTTAATCTCGGGAAGCCACTTACTGAAAAATGGGTGCAAGGTATGAGCCACTGGAATAGGTAACTTTTTCAAACTTCATGTATACAATAAGGGCGAGAAATGTATATTCATACAGGACATCATACATACATACATTTCTCTAATTCTATGGAAATTTATCCCATTCCGAACCCATTGTATAAAAAAAATTAATCAACGTGTGGTTGCCAGTGATCTCAGAAGATGATTGGATGAGTTTAAGGGTCATAACCTTTCTCAGCTCACTGGATGCATCAAAATATGCTAACAGGTGTTAATGAAATTGACAACTTTATGGAAAGTGGAATGCACTCGAAGGGGATTTTAGTTTAGCAAAAAAGGAAAATTTATTTTTTAATCATTAGAGAAACAGATTCTTACATATATAGTTACTCGTGGATTATCGGATTTATCCAATCTCGATAGTTAAATAATAAATTTTAAAGTCCTCGCCGAGGCTCGGACTTTAAAATTGATAATTTAACTATCTCGATTGGATAAATCCGATAATCCACTGGTATCAATGTAAGAATCTATAAATAACAGCCAGCTACAAAACATTGAAGGAAGAGTCATGTGTTACGATTTGTTTATTACTCCCTAATGACCTTGGTATAAAGTTGGCTTTGGTGACACCCCTGGAAAAATTCTGGAAGCTCTGTTATATCAAAGAAAAACTTTGAGGCATAATGACACACAGGAGTCTGTAATACTTATTCAATAATAATTTTGATATGCTGTTCGAAAATTTTTATCATATATTGATATACTTTTTTTAATTTTTTTTCAGGAAATGCACAAAATCTGGGAATTAGGAATGTTAAAGAGCAAAATCATTCAACCGAAATGAAAACTTGATGGAAAAGGCAATCTAAGACCAAACTATCTACCAAAGTCCTAGCTACCTCTTGCATAAACACATCATAGCTATCCCTTGCATAAACGCAAGTAATGCGCAATTCTACACAAAATACAAAAATAGTACTCTGATTTTACAAATCAACACGATGACAGCTGCTTCTCTGTCACAAGAGGAAGAAAATTATGTAAGGATGAGCTTGTTGCTGACTGGAATTTCTCCACGTGGAGTGAGATCTTTGTTTGATCGCGAATTTGCTCCATCATGTCTGGATGCCACAATCAAGAAAGAGTATAACAAACTGAATTACCTTAAATTGAAGCGCGTAATAAATCAATGTCAGTGGAATCTTTTGTTCCCAAGATGTTCCGGTAAGTGAAGAGATCGAAGTTTTATTCTCATAAAATCTTTTGTTCCCAAGATGTTCCGGTAAGTGAAGAGATCGAAGTTTTATTCTCATAAAATCTTTTGTTTCCAAGATGTTCCGGTAAGTGAAGAGATCGAAGTTTTATTCTCATAAAGTCTTTTGTTCCCAAGATGTTCCGGTAAATGAAGAGATCGAAGTTTTATTCTCATAAAAGTGCAATCGCCTGTTCTTTTAAAGATGTCTTTGTAAATTCAGAGATCCAAGTTTAACTCCAGTAACAATGGAACCATTTGTTCTCATCATAACAAGGTAAATACGGAGGAGCATTTTTTTCCTGTTAAAAATTAAATCTCCTGTTCTCTAGATATCTTGATAAGTGCAGAGATCTTATGTTTAGTCCAGTAACATCAGACAATTCGGTCTATAAAATATTCTAGTGATAATAAATATCCATTTTTTCTAATATAGCCAAAACGCCTGTTTCCATGATATCATGGACAACTTTTATTTCAGTCTCAGCTGAATCTCCTGTTTTCAAGATATCATGGTAATAAGTACAGAGATATACGTTTTAATCCAATCTCAGTTGAATCTCCTACTCTCAATATACCTGGCTAGTACAGATATTCAAGATTTATTTTGGGAACAGTTAAATCTACTTATTGCTAAATGTCAGTTACGTACAGGAATGATTACTCTATATCAGTGACAGGGAATGCTCTTTCTCAAAATATGCAATTTTGTACAGAGAACGAAGTTTTATAATACTGGTCCTAGTAACAGTAGAATCGCCTGTTCCCAAGGTCTCTTGTGAAGTACAGCAATGCATGGTTTATTTAAGTAACAACCGATTATCCTCTTCCGAAGATTACCTTTATGTACAGAGATGCATGTTGTATTCTATTATAAGTGGAATCTTATGATTTCAAGATTTCATGGTAAGTCCAGACATTTTGTGTTAATGTGTCTTTTGATTGAGTTAAGCCATTTCAATTGATATTTTATAGTGTGTCTGTCTATGTTGTGATGTTACACTATTGTTTCAGGTAAGGGTGAAGGTTGGTACCTATTAAAACGTTTAAAACCTGCTGCATTTGTTTGCACCTGTCCTAAGTCAGGAACCTGAAGTTCAGTAGTTGCCGTTTGTTGATGTGGTTCATAAGTGTTTCTCGTTTCTCGTTTTTTATATAGATTAGACCGTTGTTTTTCCCATTTGAATGGTTTTACACTATTCACTTGTTGGGGTCCTTTATAGCTTGCTGTTCGGTGTGAGCCAAGGCTCCGTGTTGAAGACCGCACTTTAACCTATAATGGTTTACTTTTACAAATTGTGACTTGGATGAAGAGGTGTTTCATTGGCACTCATACCACATCTTCTTATATCTATCTATGTTTTTTTCAAGCCTTAGTTGATTCTCCCGTCACCTAGATATCCTAATAGGTACATACAGAGATATAATGTTTTGTCCAGTATCAGCGGAATCTCCTGTTCTCAAGACATTCCTCAAAACACCAGAACCCCTTTTATGCAAGATATCTCGAAGCTTATAAATTAATAGAAACATGTTTTTATGACTACTCATTCGTATTTCTTGGTTTGAATGCTCTCCAACGCTGTATTTGATTTGACCTTTAAACTATTTTGAGTTGAGCGCTACTAATGATACGTATTTAGACGAAACCCCTGGGATAGTTGGAACGTGGCCAGAACAGCGGCAAAAGATAGAAAAGCTAGGGCCTTATGCGACTTCTGGCACGGAGAGAATTAAGAACCTGGGATAGTTGATTAGTTGCTTTCTGAATAAAGTAGACTCTCCTGTATATCATTTTAAGTACAGATATCCCAGTTTTATTATAGAAACATTGGAATCTACTAATTCCAAGATATGATCAGCTAGTAAGTTTAGAGAGGCATGTTCTATTCTAGAAACAGTGGTTTCGTCTCTTCCCGAGATATCCTCAGGCTGGTAGAGAGGCATGTTCTATTCTAAAAACAGTGGCTCTTCTCTTCCCGAGATACCATCAGGTTAATAAGTTAAGAGATGCATGTTCTATTCTAGAAACTGAGATATCTTCTCTATCGGAGATACCCCATGCTGGTTAGTTTAGAGAGGCATGTTCTTTTTTAGAAACAGTGGCTCTTCTCTTCCCGAGATACCATCAGATTAATAAGTTAAGAGATACATGTTCTATTCTAGAAACAGAGGTATCTTCTCTCTCGGAGATACCCCCATGCTGGTAAGTTTAGAGAGGCATGCTCTATTCTAGAAACAGTGATCCCTTGTCTTCCCGAGATATCTTCAGGCTGGTACGTCTATAGAGGCATGTTCTATTCTAGAAACAAGTGGTTTCTTTTCTTCCTGAGATATCCCCAGGCTGGTAAGTTTAGAGAGGCATGTTCTATTCTAGAAACAGTGATCCCTTCTCTTCCCGAGATATCCTCAGGCTGGTACGTCTAGAGAGGCATGTTCTATTCCAGAAATAAGTGGTCTCTTTTCTTCCTGAGATATCCCCAGGCTGGTAAGTTTAGAGAGGTATGTTCTATTCTAGAAACAGTGGCTCTTCTCTTCCCGAGATATCCTCAGGCTGGTAAGGTTAGAGAGGCATGTTGTATTCTCAAAACAGTGGCTCTTCTCTTCCCGAGATATCCTCAGGCTGGTTAGTTTAGAGAGGCATGTTCTATTCTAGAAACAGTGGCTCTTCTCTTCCCGAGATATCCTCAGGCTGGTACGTCTAGAGAGGCATGTTCTATTCTAGACACAGAGGTATCTTCTGTTCCTAAGATACACTCAGGCTTGTTAGTTAAGTGATTCATGTTTATTTCTACCAAAACAATCTCTTTTTCACTGGATGTCCTCAATTGCAAGCTGGTATGTTTATAGATACCTGGTTTATTCTAGAAACAGTCGATTTCCGAAAACAGCATACAAAAATGATAAAGGAAAAACGTGTATCTTTATGATTGTTAAATAGGAGAGACATAAACAAAAGTATAAATAAACCTGTAAACCAAATTACTTTTTTTGAAATAATGCTAACAGTTACTTAAGCAAGCTCAAAGTGATTAACTGCCTGCTTTAATGTCTAACCCTCTTCTCTAATATCAGCTTAATATAGCTGCACTTTGCTATTATAGAAGGTTACAATCAGTGTCTGCTATAGAAAAAAATACAATATCTTGTTCTTTAAAAACGCTTCAACATATATCTTTTTTAAATGGATGTTGAGATGTAACATCACAGTGAATGATTAGGGTTATATTATCTATGGTGTGGAAAAGAGAAGTGAAAGCTTTTGAAGTTTTTCTAAAACTTTTTGGTCGAAAACGATGTGACAATGCCATTCGAAAAAACGAAAAACGACTAAAATACAAGTTACAGTATACAAAACACAACATAGAAAACTAAAGATTGAGCAGCATGAACCTCGCAAAAACCTGGGTTGATCTCATGTGTTCCTGATGGATAGACAGATCTGATCTAGCTTCAGAGGAAACATCTGATCGATGTCTTCAAAGAATATTAACTGTTATTACTTTTTTTCATTCGACAAAACCAAATCCGAATGACTAAGTATGAGTGTTTATCTTGCATATGTTTTAATGTTTTAATGTTTCCAGGTGTTCCTGATTCAAAAACGTTTGACGTCACGTTGATGATAACATTATTGAGAAATCTAACTCCCATGATTCCTCCTGCTGGTGGATATGACTGTTTACCATCAACAGTTGAAGTCACACAAGGTGCTGATTTGTCAAGAATAAAGTATTACAGGAACTACTTGGCTCATCTTGATGATGGGAAAATAGACACTACATTCTTCAATACTGCCTGGACTGATATAACAGGTGTATGTAATTCTAATCAGTTTTCTGAAAATCTATATTTACGTTATTAATTTAAAAAAAAAGAAAGCCGCAACGACCTTTTGTGAACACTTTGTTCCCTATTGTTCATATGTTGTGGGTTTTTTTTCGAAACTTTATCCCCTCCTACCACTAGGCCAATAGCGATCAAACATTGCTAAGGCTTTCATCAGAAACTATGGGTATTGAAAAACTTATAAGTGTTTATCTTTGTATTTCAACAGTCTTAAATACTATGTACATCGTTACTTGACGCCAATGTCGGTACCATCTGATCGAGCTGGTGATTAATGTGATCATGCATTTTATGATAAGGCGTCATGTTAGTGACTAAAATATAGTTGTTTGACAAACCTTATCGGAAGTATATTTCATTATTACATTGCATCGTCTATTCATCTCTAATTCCGGTAAGCACATATAGCTTCCCTGGCCGATGGTCAATAACTTGATATAATGTAGAATTATTCTTCAGAAGACGTGTTTCCTTTCCTTTCTTCTTTTCTATATGTAGTTTACCCGTTCATGCATGACGACTGTCTAATCTCTTTAACTTATTGCCATAATATTTTAGAATTTCTACACATCATACAATTTGTGTATCATCTGCTTTTTCGAGTACTATCATATATGTTACAGGCTATTGCTAGACTAGGAGGACGCACAATGGAACAGGAATGTTATCAGTTGAAAACCAAACTTTTAGATCAGACCAACCAAGAAATAATAATGGATATCAAACATTCTAAGGATGAAATCAAAGAAATAAAAGGATCATTGGAAGAATTGAAATCGTCTCATTTAAAAATCAAGAAATCACATGAACTACTGCAAGAAAATTACGAAGAAGGAACTAAACGCTATTCACTGCTTCAAGAAGACTATGAAGAAATGAAGAATTCCTATGCATCGCTCCAAAAAAAACTTGCAAACTCTCAGCAGGATACAGTGCCATGGAATGTAAGAGGTAAACATTTGAAATTAAAGTTGTAAACTTAGAAAAATAACCAATAATGGAAGGTCATACTAAACTCTTTATATAACTGCAAGTTAAATTCGAAAAGCGAGAAATTCACAAATCCTCTCAATCTAAACGCTCAACTCTATCAACCAACGGAACGACTGAAACACAACAGTCATATTCTCGACGTGGTACCGGAATTTCCCGAATGGTGGGTTAAACCTAGTTTTATTACTAGCTATACCTCCCACTTTTATGCAAGCTGTTTATAGTTCTGTTAGGTGAACAAAATGTGTTGGCAACCCAAACAGATTTAATTTGTTATTGTGACCGAAACTGTGATCCATGATCCAAAGTGATTTAAACATACACAAGATATGCTACACAACTTAAAATATTCAAACAAACATACAAATGAAATTTTCAAAGACGCCAACTGAAAGAGTAGTAAAGTATATTGAAACACTAGAGATATATACTGATAGACCATGCTAGAAATGTCAGGTGGAAGTTGGATTGTTTAAGTCTTATTTTGAAGTAAAATTGCATGTAAAGGATTACTGTAATTCAAAAACTATTGGACAATATAACATGCACATAACACCAACACAAATTCCCCACTCCAGAGAAAACATGTACATGAAAACAACAACAAATAACAAATGGTCATCATTGCCTAAATTGGTGGAACAAGTTTAACGTGCACACACAACTCCCATTTTCATGTTTATGCCATTGTTTAGTAAACATTGAACATTGATTTTTACAACTGAATAAATATTTACAGATCAGATTCAATTTATTGTTTCTGCCCACAGATAATTAGAAATGATGGTATATTGTACTTTTTTATTGGATACCTTAACCTCACTAAATTCCGTACAAACAAATGACATTGACAGGTTCATATGCATGTTGTAGCAAGGAAATGACCGTTTGAGCAACACAAAATTTGTCTGCTGGAAATAGAATGAAACTGTTACTCGCGTAGATGCCATATCCGGATTCATTAGCACTCTAACGCATTACTAGAAAGTTTCTAATCTCGTTCCTTCTCTGAAATAATTTCTACAAATACCATCGATTTTTCTACATTTTACGCTGCCATACCGCAGAAAAAATTGAAAACCCGTTTAAGAAAATAATCCTCAGTGCCTTCCTACATAAAAAGGGTACAATGCGCTTCAAATTTATTATTGTTGAAATTAATTTGGAATATTTTGTTGAAAATGTACCGAGTATAAAACAAACAACATCGAAGAACAAGTGATCAGTATGCTGGAGTTTCTCAGTGACATCATATTTACTGAATTTGGAGGTAGAATTGTCGAGCATGTTGTCAGACTGCTATGGGAACAGCCTGTTTATCTCTCCTTGTCGACCTGTTCTTAATTTGCAAAACTCCTTCATACACTTCTTAAGAGAGGCGGAAGATACAAACTCATAAGACAAACTGACAACGCCATTCCGTATAAAAAACGAAAATGTGGTATGATTGCCAATGAGACAACTTTCCACAAGAGACCAAATGACACAGAAACTAACAGCTATAGTTCACTGTTCGGCCTTCAACAATGTGCAAAGCCCATATCGCATAGTCAGCTATAAAAGACCCATGTCAGGAATATGACAGTTTTTTTCCAGACGTTCCGTTGGACGTCAAGCCGAGCTGTCGGTTTTGTCAGTTTGTATAGACTTTATATAGATATAAGAAGATGTGGTATGAGTGCCAATGAGACAAAAAAAAGTAAAATCACAAAAATACTGAACTCCGAGGAAAATTCAAAACGAAAAGTCCCTAATCAAATGGCAAAATCAAATGCTCAAACACACCAAACGAATGGACAACAACTGCTATATTCCTGACTTGGTACAGGCATTTGCTTATGAAGAAAATGGTGGATTGAACCTGGTTTTAAAGCTAGATAAACCTCTCACTTGTATGACAGTCGTATAAAATGCCATTATATTGACAACGATGTGTGAACAAAACAAAAAGACATAATAGGTAAAAATGTCAAAAATAGGGGTACAGCAGTCACCGTTGTGTTATTATCTTAATCACTATAAAAACAAACAGATATATAAACAAACATTTACCATGACACAATAACACAATAACACAATGACGGACAACTCACATTATTACGGTATTTTTGTTCATATATTTCTATATATAAGAGGAGAAAATTCTATGTCAGGTTGAACTGCTCACATAGAAGGGGTATATGCTATTAAATCATTGTGTAAAGAATTCCCAGGGTAGCATTAGTGAAATGTTTGTATATTATCCACAGAGTTGCTTGAATAATTCATTTGGATGTAATTTTAGAAAAGGCGGAAGTTATTTATTTCTTATAGGTTATATAAGTCCACTCAATTCTTATTTATATAAATAATGATAGAGTTTGTGTTAAATTTCATTGTAGCACAAATCAACAAAAATCTTGAAAAATGGAAAAATAAGGATAAGATGTTTGTAAGCACAAGAGCTGCCAAATACGTACTGCAACTTTTACAAGGCAACAGTTGCGTTACCATAACAGCTAGTTCTGGTGTAGGGAAGACTGCAACACTCCAGCATGTGGCTTTACAAATGAATGCTCATGGGTACGACATACTTTTAGTGACAGATCCAGGTGACATTGTCAAATATTACAATCCAAACCAGAAAACATTGTTTGTTATAGAAGATTTATTTGGGAATTTTTCTGTGAGCCAGAATGATATCAAACTTTGAGAATCCGTCAGTGGTCCTATAAAAGAGATAACTGAAGATAAACAAACAAAAATAATGGTAGCATGTAGATTGCAAGTGTACCAAGATAACAACTTTGACACATTATCAATTTTTAATTCATCTGTGTGTAATTTTTTGTCAGTTGATATGTGCTTGACAAAAAAAGAGAAACAATCAATAGCTGAGGTATACCTCGAAACAAAAGCTATTGAGATTTCAGATTATTATGATTTGTACGATTGTTTTCCACTTTTATGTCAATTGTATTATGAAAATCCTACCAACGACATAAAACATTTTTTCCAGCATCCTTATTCAGTTTATGAAGCACAGGTTGACCAGCTACAAAAGAGAAGATGTTTTGGTAAATACTGTGCTTTGGTTTTATGTGTCATGTTCAATAACAAACTGAACGAAGATATGTTAACGAAGGAGATTGATGAAGAAACAAAAACTATCATAGAGAACACGTGTGAAACGTGTAAACTGGACAGAGGAACATCAAGACTTTTTTTGAAAGATGAAATGGATTCCCTTTTAAATACATTATTAAAAAAACAAGACAAATTATATCCAACAACAGAAAACAACAAACTTATATTAAAAACTAAAAGCTTCTACACAACTATTCATGATAAAATATTTCACTTTCTAGCTAAATACTTTGGACAGAAAATAATCGGCTGTCTGATCAAGAATGCTGACAGCTGCTTGATACGGGAAATATTTTTACTGGAAAGAATAGACGCCACAGATCAGTCTATCACGAGTGTGCCCTCTGAGTACCACCAACTATACATGCAGAGAATGATTGACGACTGGTCAAAAGGGAAACTACAAGATGTATTTAATAACAAAAACATGAAAATGCGTCATTTCAGACAAAGGTTTCTGTGTTATTTGAATACATTAGATGTAGGTTACCAAAAGCAATTGGTACATGCCTGTGATACTGATTATAAAAGATGTATACGTGAAATGTTATACTACAGGGATATTGTATGTGACACTGTCATGCTACATTGTTGTTCGATTGGAGACATGAATATGATCCAGTGGTGTTGCAGTCATGGTGTTGATGTAAACGAAAGTGGAATTTGTGGCCAGTCGCCTCTGATGATTGTTTGTAGATATGGCCATACTGACATAGTGAGAATGTTTTTAAACAAAGCAGCAGATTGTAATAAATGTGACGAAATTGGTCAGTCGCCTACACTAATGGCTTGTATACATGGTCACACAACCATAGTAAGGATGTTAATAGACAACGGCGCAGATTACAGTAAATGTGACAATCTTGAACAGTCACCGCTGTTTATGGCATGTAAACATAATCATACAGACATAGTTGAAATGTTGATAAACAGAGAAGCAGATTATAAAAAATGTGATTTGAGAGGTCAGTCGCCTGTAATTATGACATGTTTACATGGGCATTTAGAAATATTAAAGATGATGTTGGAGAGAGAAGCAGATGATAGCAAATGTGACAATACTGCTGATTTACTTGTCATGATGGCATGTAAACTTGGCCATACAAGTATAGTTAAAATGCTGTTAGACAAAGGAGCAAATCAAAATACAAGTGACATACTTGGTCATTTCCCTTTATTTATTGCTTGTAAACATGGTCATACAAAAATAGTAAGAATGCTGTTAGACATTGGAGCAAATTATAAAAAATGTGACAACGATGGAATGTCACCGGTAATGATTGCTTGTATGCATGGTCATACACAAATAGTTGCTGTTGGACAATGGAGCAAATTATAATGCGTGTAACAATAATGGTGAGTCATCTTTAATGCTAGCTTGTATGCAGGGTCAAACAGAAATAGTAAGAATGTTATTTGAGAAAGACGTAGATTATAATAGATGTGACAATGATGAACAGTCACCAGTATTGATGGCTTGTATGCATGGTCACACAGAAATAGTAATGATGTTGTTAGACAACGGAGCAGATTATAATAAATGTGACATAAGAGGTCAGTCACTTGGAATGTTGGCGTGTATGCATGGTCATACAGAAATAGCAAAACGATTATTAGATAAAGGAGCATATTATTATATTGGTGGCACAGGGGATTGGTTACCTTTAAATATGGCTTGTAAATATGGTCAGACAGAAATAGTGAGGATGTTGTTTTACAACGGAGTAGACCATGAAAAATGTGACTCAAGAGGCCGGTCACCTTTAATGAAGGCGTGTGGACGTGGTCATAGCGATGTAGTAAGAACGTTTTTAGACGAAGGAGCAGATTATGATAAATGTGACTCAGACGGCCAGTCACCTTTAATGAAGGCGTGTAGACATGGTCATATAGATATAGTAAGAATGTTGTTAGACAAAGGAGCAGATCATGATAAATGTGATGCTAATTACCAGTCATCGTTAATGAAAGCATGTAGACAAGGTCATTCAGATATAGTTAGGATGCTGATAGACAGAGGCGCATATTATAATTATCATTATGACAAATGGAACCAGTCACCTGTATTGTTGGCTAGTAGAACTCGTCAAATAGAAACAGTGCAAATGTTGTTGGACAAAGGAGCAGATTATAATATGTGTGACCATCTTGGGCAGACGCCGATACTAATGGCCTGTAAAACTGGCCAAACAAAAGTAGTAAGAATCTTGTTGGACCAAGGAGCAGATTATAATGCATGTGACAATTTTGGGCAGACACCGATACTGATGGCTTGTAAAACTGGTAAAACAGAACTCGTAAAAATGTTGTTGGACAGAGAAGCAGATTATAGAATATGTGACAAGTATGGACAAACGCCTATAAAGATGGCTGACAAATACTGTCATTTAGCAGTTTTGCGGATGTTGTTAGACAAAGTTAATGTGTAAGATTTTTAATCTTCATTTGCTAATGTTGTATTTGTCATATTGAAAAGGAGAGACCGTAGAAATCATTAACGGTACAAATTCCACTGCAACAGATGTCAACTTCTGCACTTATTATTTGTTCGGCGATTTAAGAGTCTAACACATTGGATATTCCAAAATCTAATACAAACGTTAAAAACAATATTACCCCCCCCCCTAAAAAAGCACAAGCATAGCAAAAACCGGACAAAGAATCAGAGCAATGCAAAAGGAGATATACCCTTTAATGTTTGACTATAAATAGAACTGAAACAGATAAAGAATATGCACATCAATAACATAATATTTCTGTTCAAGGAAACAATGAATTTGTATTCAATGATCATCAATGTCTGACAGTTAAAGAAGAATCATGAATCAATACCACTATATTTTTTACTTTATATAAGATTTACAATATAAGAAGTGCTGATACAATGACGAAATAATGATTGTAATTTGTTTCATATCTAGAAAGTTGCTTTACTTTCAATGTTATGGTTGTTTTTTAATGCCTGTGGCTGGTTAAAATATATGCTATATCCTTTTTTTCAATTATTATCATTAAAGATGTTGATTTGGATATATATGTATGTGTTTAAGTACGTCTATGTTTTCCTTCAATGGGATAGAATATGAGGATTCACCGACTGTAATACGTATATTTTGGTCAGTTATTCTCCCGTGCTGTACAAGCATATATAAGAATAAATGAAGTGCGGAATATGTTTTTATGATATTCAGTATTTATCCTGCAATTAGCCATCTATTATACAAATAACAGGTATACAAATAAATTTTTGCTTTATTTGTACATGTACAAATAAAGCCTCCTGTTACCCCACTTCCATGTTGAGCAAGCGGTAATATGAATATTTCTGTTTCCGAACCAGTTCATTTTGGGGTTCTCTTCGCGGTCCGCGTTTCAACCATGTCGATTTCATTGAGAAATTAGAGACAATGATTTAGATTTTAATAACTGAAGTTTCAAGTGTTGGGAGTAATTTCAGGATAAACACAATATATGTACATTGTCGGAAATATAAAATTTATTTGTACTCGCTTTGAAACAGGAGAAAAGCTCGGCGGAGCCTCGCTTTTCGTCCTGTTTCTAAAGCTCATACAAATAAATTTTATATTTTCCGACAACATACATATATTGTATATTTATAGAGTAATGAACATACATTTTTAGTTTAAGATTTATAACGATGATTGATTAACATGTGTCACGATTCACTTTATATATGGTACTGATAGTTTGAACATCGATAAAATATTATTCTTTTTGTCGCGTTATTCCAATATAGTTAATTATCTAAATATTAAAGTAGAATATTTACTCAGCATTATGAATAATTTGGGTTGATGCATTCAATCAACAGTTTGAGTATCAATAGTCCAAACTCATATAATGTGCTTCTTTTGTGATTTGCAACATCAAATTGCTTTCCGGTTCAGAATGTCTATTATTATCATCCTATTTCCATAGTATTCTATCTGTAATATGTGTTTTATCTATGAAAATTTTACAAAAAATAAGACTGTTTTGTAGTATAAAACCATTCATATGATTCCAAATATATGATTGGATTTGTTTTATTTGTTCTTATATTTTAGTTATATTCTTATGAATGATTTTACACCAACACCAGACTAACGCCTAACTATTCTGACCAAATCCCGTTTAATACAGGCTCAGATAATTGCTACCTCCCTGATGCTGTTAGTCAAAGACCATCATTCAATATTAAAAAAGTATATAAGAAATGTATTTAAGCCGTTGATACTGTCTTCATAGGTCAAGTGATTATATTGTAGTAAATATTTCTAATTTCCTGAAAGATGAAGCGACTCTAGTGCCTAATTTACAATTGTTGTACGACACTATTTATCACTTTGGTTCTGACTCAATAATCAATTTTAAGTATCTGTATCAAAAGTTAAATAGAATAACTGATATTAATTTTAAAACTCTTCCCAATGAACAATATACAATTTATTAAAAGCAAATACGAAGAAACAAAGTATGTGTAAAAATCCATGTCGATCAGCCATTTACTATGTCATATACATATATTTATCCCGAGAAAGATCAAAGCATGTATGATAGTTGATGGAGTGTTTAAGGACAAAATATTTTACAAGATGGGTTGCATGAGCGTAGCAAAAACTGTTTACACTTATCACAACTATTTTCTTGAAGCGTGGTTTATGTCAACTTTTATTGTAGGTAGATACAGGGGACCTAAAATTTTCCCAATCTTAATTATCAATCACAATTTATTTGACTAATAGTACTGCAAAAAGTAAAATCACAAAAATACTGAACTCCAAGGAAAATTCAATCAGAAAGTCCCTAATCACATGGCAAAATCATATGACAAAACACATCAAACGAATGGACAACAACTGTCATATTCCTGACTTGGTACAGGCATTTTCAAATGTAGAAAATGATGGATTGAACCTGGTTTTATAGCGCTAAACCTCTCACTTGTACGACAGTCGCATCAAATTCCATTAGATTGACAAAGAAAGATGCGTGAACAAAATGTCACAAATAGGGCCACAACAACAACACGAACCCCACCAAAAACTGGGGTGATTTCAGGTGCTGCTCCACATGAGGCACCCGTCGTGTTGCTCATGTTATTACAAAGTCGGTAAATATTCGTGTGTATTGCTCCAATAATTTTGATGAAGATTAGAAAGTCGCAATGTCTGACTTTAATGGTCAAAGTTTACATTAAATCCCTCTGTGAAATTATATTTTGACTTGCTATTTCATCAGATAAAAAATACGGAGATTTAAAATGAATGTAAACGAGTCATATAACCACTAGATACCAATCACGTGGATGTAAGCAAATATAGGTCGCCTTCGAACAATGAGCAAAACCCATGCTGCAATATATTATAATCAAGGTATAAAAGGTCCCGACATAACAAAATGTTAAACACAATTCTAAAAATTATCTTATTAATCAAAGAATATGTACAAAATTACATCGACACAATCAAATTCATTGTGGAGCAACTCGACCTAATGACTGAACGTCATAAATGTAAATATAAATGATGGAGCAAATTGACTAATTTGAAATTTTTAATAATCAGAACACATCTAACGAACGGAAAACAACTATCATATTGCTGACTTGTCACCTTTATCGGTGGATTTTACATAGATAAATAAAATCGTATAATAAAAAAGCCTTTTTGTGCTTCATTGTTATATTTGTTTGTTTTTCTAGTGATTAAAATGATAACACAATGTTGACTGCTGTACACCTATTTTTTACATTTTTGCCTATTGTGTCTGTTTGTATTGTTCACGCATTGTTGTCAATATAATGGAATGTGATGCGACTGTCAAACAAGTGAGAGGTCTAGCTAGCTATAAAACGAGGTTCAAATAACCATGGTCTACATAAGAAAATGCCTTTACCAAGTCAGAAATATGACAGTTGTTATCCATTCGTTTGATGTGTTTGAGATTTTGATTTTGCCGTTTGATAAGGAACTTTCCTTTTTGAATTTTCCTCGGAGTTCAGTATTTTTGTGATTCTACTTTTTTTTGTACAAGCTAGGACAGCTACCTTGAAGTTTTAAAGTTTTATTCTTGGATGGTATTACATCTATGTCTTTAGCAATATGATGGTTCTTAATAATAGGTACATCGACACATACTTTGAAATTGAACAAAACCTTTTTTTATAGATTTTAAGGTACTACCCGCAATCGTAAATAGAGTGGTACACCTTAAACTGACAAAAGAAACATTTTATGACCAGACAAAAATTGAAATATAGATATTACTCTTTCCTTTAAAACAATTTCTAATCGTGTGATGTTCCGGTACACTAAACTCGTTAACTAAGCGTCTTTTTCGAGGCCAGGTTCAATCCACCGTTTTCTACATTTGAAAATGCCTGTACCAAGTCAGGAATATGACAGTTGTTGTCCATTCGTTTGATGTGTTTTATCGTTTGATTTTGCCATCTGATTAGGGACTTTCCGTTTTGAATTTTCCTTGGGGTTCAATATTTTTGTGATTTTACTTTTTGCAGTACTATTAGTCAAATAAATTGTGATTGATAATTAAGATTGGGAAAATTTTAGGTCCCCTGTATCTACCTTCTCTCTATTTCGAGATTACTTATTATGAATTTTGTCAAATGAAAACCTTTTGTCTATAGACAAATAAGATTCACAACTTATATTTCGCATACAAAAATCTATTTATTCTGATTTCATCCTTATGTCGAAATGATATATTTTTCTGTCACCGGTTACAGATTAATACCATAACTGATTATACTTTAATTTAAATTTGTTCGAAATAAATCTGTTCAAATTGGATATATATTTGTTATACTTCAATGTCTAAATATTTGATAGCGAATGAACTCATAAAATTTAATGAACTTTTTTACTATTGTTCGATAAAGATTTGGATACAGAGAGGGCTTTAACCAATAATTGTTTATCTGCATTTGTTACACGTGATTAGTATGGAATAATGGCAACAATAGTATACCGTTACTCAAAAGTTATTATTCGAGGAAGCAAAAAAAGAAAATCAGGAAAACAAACACCGAGGGAAACACATCAACTTTAAGAGGAGAACAACAGAAGAACAGAAACACAGAACCAACATACATAGAAACGGATTTAAGTAAACAATTGCTATAGTACTGACTTGTTACAGGACATTTAAAGAAAAATGAAAACATATTCAGTATTTCTTCAGTAAATATTGGATATCTTCCTAAATCACCGTCATGTTTGTACTTTTCCCTACTCCCAGTGGAAATTTTCAGATGCTTTAATTAACTAATTCAGTTTACAGTTCTTTGCATAATTTTTCAAAACAATAATTTCCTTTGTCAGCTAACTTTTTTTTAATCTAAAGCGCCACAAATTTTATCTCCATAAGCTAGAATTATTTTCTATATGTGGTGAAATATATGTAGTAAGGTTTCAATATTTGTTAAATGACCTTTAAATATTTTTTAAATTTTGAAAAGGGCTTTGTGTCCTCTTTTCAATAGATTATATTTTAGCAATTGCCTCTGTAAAGCACCAAGAAGTACTGAAGTTTATTCTAGCAATGTATACTAGTTATAAGTTTTCAACATGTTCTGCTGTTTTCTGCTCTTTGGTTGGGTTGTTGTCTCGTTGACACTATCCCCATTTCTATTCTCAAATTATTAACATTGGGTAATGAGAAAAACTACAGAAAATGCTCGAATAGGAATAAGATGGAACATTTCATCAACATTAGAAAATCTTGATTTTGCCGATGATCTGGCTCTATCACATCCCCACCACCATTTAAAAGAGATAACAAACCGTCTTAATAATTTTGCCAGTCAAGTTGGACTAAACATCAGTCAAACGAAAACAGAAGTCATGACCCTTAACATCAATAACCCAACTTCTATCCTTATAGATAGAAGAGATCTTCCAATCTCAAAAACATAAACATACATAGGAAGTACAATAAGAAACAATGAAGGTGCAGGAAATGACATCATGCACAGAATAAACAATGCAAGAAATATTTTTAGATCACTAAACAATGTATGGAAATCATAAACTGTACCAGAGTTGTGTATTATCTACTCTGTAATTCTGAAATCGAACCAAACACTAAAGAAGAATCCTGCGCAATTTCTGGCCAAACAAAATATCCTATGAAGACCTTCTAAGACTGTAATCAAGATAGGTACAATTTTACTGAGAAGGCGTTGGAAATGTATTGGGCATGTGATAAGAAGAGATAGAAATTCCATCAATAGAATACCATTACATTTGACTCCAGAAGGAAGGCGTAGGCGAGGAAGACAAAAAAATAATTAAAACATACTGTTGAAGAAGAACTGAAGACCATGAATAACACATGGGGATCAGTTGAAGAGATGGCAAAAGAGAGACAATGGAAACCTTTGTTCCTGTCCTACATGACAATGGCATGCCGGGCAGTAAGTATGTTTCGAATCAAATCGTTGTATCTGTAAAAAAGTATAAAGGTTTTTATTGATTAAATTAACGACATCTGGACATTTGGATAGTATTGCTGTTTTTATCTGGGTACAAATGTAATGAAATCGTGAAGTCTTAGGGATTAGTACAGCTTTTTGCGTAGAATGGGGCAATGGCGATTCAATTTTTAAATCACATAATCTAATCCGGAAGTTAATTTTATATTTTGGCATTCGAATTTTAACTGTGATATTAACTAAAGCTTTAATTCCTGGAATGACATACCAAGACGCTTAGTCATTATCCAAAATCCCGAAATTCCAAGTTCGTGTAATCTAAATGTATTCTTAA